ATAAAAGCAACGGTAACGCATCTGACCTAAAGAGAGATCGCGCGGACTAATGCGGCGATGGCGATATGGCGGCGGTCAGCTTCTCCTTTATTCCACTTTCCTGGCGTGCTGCGGCACATCCTCTCCTCGGCTCGGTTTCCGCTCGGTCCGTCGCAGCCGCCGCCGCGGCGAGGCGGCAGGATCCTCCTTCGCGATCGGCGACCGCCCGTTCCGATCGCGGCGGATAAGATTGCCCGGCGAGATGGGATCGACTCGAACTGCGACTTGGGAAAAGGGACACGAATGGAAATCCGAGACCCGATATCGATAGCCGTCGCGTTTCTCTCCGCGGCATCTTGCTTTCGACGTTCCACCTCCGTGCGCTCCGATTGCGCAAAGGTTCGGAGCCTCAACGGGGATAGAGATTGATATCAAAATTCGATCTCCGTGACACACACACACACACACACACACACACGGAGAAAAAAGACCGGTCGACTTAACGCCGCGATGAACGCACCAAGCGCGCCTTGGTCGAAGGAAACAGAATTTCCGGTTCTTGATGAACTAAATTCAGAGATTGACATCAGAATTCGACACACGTACTGAGAAAAAAGGCCAGTCGACTTAGCACCGCGATGAACGAACCTTGGTCGAAGGAAACAGAGTTTCCGGTTCTTAAAATTTATTCTAAATTCGGTCCTACGGTTCACGATCGTGAACAGAGATAGAGAGAGGGAGAGAGAGAAAGAGAGAGAAATATTAATTTCTTTGCGCCATGAGGCTACGCTTCCTAAAACGCTGATCAAGTTTATGTTATTATTGAATAAAGGTATTAACAAGTATATTAATACAATAATTAAATAATACAATAATTAATATAATATAAGCGTTAAAATATTAACAAGTAGTGATAAAAATATATATAAATATTAGAGATGTGCGATCTATTCGAATTCGAATTCGAATAGATCGAATCTAATGTAATTCGATTTAATTTGAATCCGAATCTCTATGATTCGAATCCGAATAATTCGAAAATTTCGAATCGTGGAGATTCGAATACGAAACAAATGCATTAGCGTTTGCGCGCATCAGCTACAAAATGGGCTATCAAGGCCTGTATGTTTGAACCCTTAATTTGTAATTAACTTAACTTATAATTAATAACTTAATTATAAATTACTTTAAATATTTAAACATATATTTTACTTTAAGAAGATATTACAACATCAATATTCCCTTTCATATTAAAATCTTTCATCGTTATTTGCATGTTTAATAGTCATGTTAAATTTTTTAATGATTCGATTTGATTTCATTCGATTCGATTCAAATTCGAATGAAATTTCATAGATTCGATTCGAATTCGAATTAAAAAAATGAGATTTGATTCATTTGATTCGATATAAAAATTCTTGATTCGCACATCTCTAATAAATATATATGGAAAATAGAAAAAAAGATGTAATTATTTTGCATAACCTTAACTTGCCAAATTCAAAAAGGAAACATTTTTCTTTTTGATATTACGAACGAGATTAGCAGAGTTCCATAACTGAAAGAAAGAAAGCCTTCATAAAAGTCATCATAGCAGAGAGAGAGAGAGAGAGAGAGAGAGAGAGAGAGAGAGAGAGAGAGAGAGAGAGAGAGAGAGAGAGAGTGCACTGCATTTTGTATTGATTTCGGAATACATCCATTGTGTCCAATGGACACAATGGATAAATTTTTCCATTAGAAAACAAATTCTTCTATTGGACGAGACGGATGCGTTCTGAAATTTACACAATAACGATAGTTATAGATATTGTGCTTCGATGATTTTAAAAAATTTATCTAGACAAAGTAAAATGAAATAAAAGTTGAAATATATATGTATAACAAGTATACTTTCTTTTAATTTAATTTATATTGTACTAATGTGTACTAATTCAAAAGTTCTTCGAAAACAAACCACTTAGTTTCTATCCTGATTATAGATGAATCCCAATGGAACCTCGATCTTAGTATCGTTTGATGCATGCAATACTAACGCAAACACGACATAACTACGACATATAGACAAATATTTCAATATTTTATACGTTTGCAATGTAAACTAAATTATCCGTGAACAACATCTTAGATAATTTCATAAATTGTCTTATAAAGATAACACTCATTTCAATTTATAAGATGCGGATAAAGATAATATATATTTACATTATCTAGATAAAAGAATAAGTTGGTGTGTGCCAGAACTTTATCTAGATAATCACCAATGTAATTTTATCCAGATAAGAGCAAACACGGAATAACGGACACTCTTTTTGTCTACGATTATACAAAAGTACTTAATTAATCAAATCTTGTTAATTTCGCGTGTTCACAAACTCATCCGAGCAGTTCCTTACGAGCCAATTCGATTCTAAGGACCAAAAATTCCGTTCCTTTCGGCTAAGGCGCGATTGACACATTCATCATCATGTTAAACCAATCAATTTTTATTCCCCGTGCGAATTCACGGTATGTATTCGATCTTGTTTCCTCCCTCCCGCTCCTCACTAAATTGGAATTCCTTCCATGTCCACTTCGTGAATCTTTGATCACACAGTTTTCCAGTCTCTCGTTGCCGTATCTCCCGCCATTACCGCGCGCTATCCTTTACCCGAGCCTGAGAGCGTTCGGCTCTCACTCGGTGCGATCGCTAGCTCGAAATTAGTAAAATTCCTGCTCACGCTGTGGAATTATTCTCTCTGGTAAAGCTATAACATCATCTCCGGCACTTCCGGTTTCCCATCTCCTCGTTCTTCATGCTCACGAGACGACGGTCCGCCGGGGGGGTACCTGAGCGTCCGCGCGCTGCGCGTTCATCAACCTCTCCGTCCTCGCTTACCCACCTAGCTGACCTACAATGTGGCCGACTAACTGACGCTAGACAGAGCTAAAAGCGGCAGCGGAGGAGCGCGACGGGTGTGCGTCACTCGCGCACACACATCGGCATCATGCGATCGTATGAAGTCGAGCTAGACGCGAGCCGCCAGTGATCGTCAACGAGCCTGATCGCTATCGATCATCGCGTTAGCCCTTTCTTCCCGAGTGGTACGCATAGGCACTATAAATATTTTTAATTACCGGATATACAGTCTGATAAGAGCGTGTCCGATATAACTCGAGCACAATTTGTTGTAATGACTCGGAAAAAAATACACACATGCTGCTTGATTAGAACTGATGCTTTATTATTGATAATTTGTCAAGTCGCCCCCATTATCAATAATTGCATGGCATCCTTCTGCTAATTTTATGGCATGTGGTTTGTATTCTTGAGGTAAGGATCTTCAAGTCAATCGAATTTGTCGAACCAATTTTTTGATCTTCTGAAGTTTCTTCCCACGAAGCTTAAGCTTCATCAATATCCAAACGTCTTCGATGAAATTTATATCCGGTGTCTGTAACGGCCAATGCAATATGTTAATTATGTCATTTTCTCGTTTCCATGAGGTAGAAAAAATTATTCCGATGGTTTGGGTCATTGCTCTCTCATAATAGCCATTTTTTGTTTTTCCTTTTATACTATTTTCGGATAGATGGTAATAAAGTCTTGTCGTAAATTTTGACCACTTGGCAGCGTTCAAGTTATCTGAGAAGATACGCAAAGTGCCATATCCTTGCTTTGAGAAGTACCTCCAAACATGCACTCTTCTTCGACGCTCTTCGCCTCTAAGTAGCGATTCATTCACTTATTTATATATGCATTAGACCTTCTCATCCACTTAGCAACCACTTGGTGTGACATTTTCGGTCCTTTCGGATACACGTGCAGAAAAACACGACTTTGAATCGTGATGCGTATGCGGCATTCAAGGCGAGATAGTTCTCTTTATCATAAAAGTCTGACTGCAACTAAAGCTTTTTCTACAAAGCATCTTAAAAGTTTTTTTTTAATTTATTACTTCAGAGTAATTTCAGAGAAACCACTCACAAGAGGGTTTATTAAATGATTCTTCAAATTTAAGTGTCAACGCAAAAATTTCTGAAGAAACGGATTGTTTAAAAAATAATTTAACAATTAAATGTAATTTTTAATGCAAAATAGTTTTAACGACGTATTAACGACACGTAAGCATATTAGCTGGTAGCGCCACCATAGCGGCGCAACGATCACACACACCATCAGGCGTGCGGCTCACTGACGTATGCCAGGCTAAAGATCGATGCTGATTGGCGCGACTTTATTCAATAATTACTGCTTGATTAAGCACAATAGGAAAAAATGGTTCAGGACTTTTCGACTCGACTTTTCATCAGGAATAACACTGTGTACTTAGTGGACGCTTTTTCAGTTACATCCTATATACGTACCAGTCTCTCCCGTCCACCCTTAACAAATAATTTCATTACCTCCAGTAAAAATCTTCAATTTGACCTCGAAACGGCTGACCTCTCTGTCTTATCTTCGATTTAGGGAAAAGAATTTTTATATTCACGAGCAAAAGCTAAATCACTGAATAGAATTCTGGCGCGGAAACCTTAGGTTATCGAGCACTTACAGCTCGTAGTGAACTTCACCAGGACGATATAGGGATTATCTTTGCGCTCATAGCTCGTTTAAACAATTTATATATTCTCACAAGAGCGATTCTTTCGTAACGGACGATGCCGTTCACTGACAAGCGCAACGAAATACCGCATTCGCCTTGTTGTCTGCACAATAATCGCGAGGCTGGCGAGTCATTATCGCGGATGCTGTTGGGATGCTATCTAATGAAACATAAAAGGAAATGAAACTCGAGTCCACGTCTGCGTCTACCTGGAGCTCCCTCACCGGACTCCTCCAGTTTTCAATTTGTCGCGCGTTTTCGCTCGCTTCACGTCACTTCGCGTCACATTATGTCACTCGGGGCGATCGAGAAAGCGTTCTTCTGAGCGGCCCGAGCGAGAAAGTTCGACATCGCGTTAGGAGTCAGCTCGGGAGCTTTCGTTTTCACGCGCGCATCCAGGAAGAATCGCAAATTGAAGGCCGTCGATCCTTGCCGCAGGCTGAGAGGGACAAGCTGGAAGAGGCTCACAGGGCCTTGGACAAGCGACTGGAGGGCTGCGAGGCAGAACTGCGTGGCAAGGAAGACGAGCTGTTCCTGCAGCTGGAGAAGAGTCTGCGACTAGAGGAGGAGGTCGAACGGACGAAGCTCGAGAGGGACAGCTGCATGGCGGCGCGAGAACGACTGGACCAGGAGCAGCAGTCGGCCCTCCGTCGCCTACACCTGCAACTGGACCAGAACGAGATCACGAGGCGGAACCTGGAGAGAGCGCGCCTCGACGTTGTCCGGCAAGCTAACATCATCCGTGAGGAAAAGGACGCTCTGGAGAAAGAGGTGAGTCTTCGGGCATTCCATCTCGCGACGGAGTCGGAGAATCGGCTCGCGCCGATCTCACAAGCTTTCTGCTTTTGCTTGCAGAACCAATCGCTCAAGGAAAAACTCAAGATCGAGCGGAACGAGCGAGGAGCTGAGTTGCGTCGTCGCGAAGAAGGTGTCGCCGCGCTCACGAGGGAGACCGCCACACTGAGGCATGCAGCGCGTCATCTCCGCGCCGTCACGCTCCACGCGACGTCCTGTCGGAGTCGCCGCCGATGCTCCATCTGCCTCTACGCCAGGCGCACCTTTGCCGAGGTGGACGACTGTCGCGATGAGTAAGTGGATTCCAAGTCCCGTTCGAAGTTTGAGGGATCCTTCAGGAATGAAGGTTCGCTCGAGCGAACCTTCAATTTGAAAAATCGGGTGAAATATTAGCGCAATATAATTACGATAAAAAGAGGTGCGTCGGTTGTGTTTTTTCTTCCATGTAAGATGGTCGTACATCACATTCTGTGAATTATAGTGTTCTTCATTGACGTGGGTTTGGATCATTCTGTGAGCTCATGTTTCACTCGAAATAATTAAATTCTAATTACACAGCAGAAGTGAGAATAAAATGACTGACTATTGCTACGTATCATTATCGTTTCGCAATCGGTGTTACCGAGGTTTCTTTTTCATCGGATTTATCGAGCAATCAAAGATATAAGCAGAGGCAATATATATATATATATATAAGGTGTAATAATAACATATGGGTCAGTATGACGGGTTGCCGTCAATTAAGTTTCAATCAATATTTATACTACGTTTCTGGTCGACTCATACCTTTGCATAAGCGGTCTTTTGTAGAAACATGAGTAGAATATAGAATAAATATATGAATCGAACTTTTCAACGCAAGAAAAAAATTAAGGAATTATGTGAAAGAAAATATGTTGTATTATTTATCTTCTTAATTATTACTTTTATTTATCCTGCTCAAATCCGTAATGTTTATCTCTCCGTTTTCACTTTCTTAAACATCTTTTTTAATTCAATGAGGCTCGACTCGTGTCATAAGCAATGGGTAAACTGTCATAACGATCACGGTACAAAGTTAGGTGCACTCGTTATAACTGGAAGCACTGCAAATTCGTTATCAGTAAAGTCAACGAGTAACTTTTTCGGCAACCTCTGCATTATTGTCCGAATAGGGGCAGGCAACCCGTCATACTGACCTATATTCTAGTCAGAACCATAACGTTGATTTGACGTTGAATTGGTCGATGAAACGTTGAATCAATGTTAATTCGTCGACGTTGAACATTATGGTTCTAACTGGGTACGTTGATGTTACATCCTATACAACCTAATAACTTAAAATCTGAATCTTAGTGACTTAAGACAGAGCTTATGATAGGAATTTTTCCTGAAGCGATTTGTAAACTCGGAAACGCTAGTAGTTGTATAATCAGTTCCAATATGCTTTGAACACTTTTGCCCGATGCATCATGTTCAAAATGCATCTCGTGAAAAAATTTGCCCTCTAAGAAACATTCAGAAATATATTTTCCTATTAGTCGTGTTCTTTTTAGTTAAATTATTGCCACAGTGGAATGCCATTTCTATTTTCCTTCAATGCTGAACTATACAGAGTGGTCCACGTAAAGCTTAACAATTAATCTATCAGAGTTCTAAGAAAGTTTTATATATACTTTATATTATACGTGTATGTTTCCATTCCAAAAAATAATGCGAAAGAAAAGGAAGACTAATGTTATATTATTGATGTTATATTATTATATCTACTAAGTATGTCAGCAGAAAAAATGTTTAAGTTACCTTCGCTTTATCCTTTAAAGAAAATGATTGAATATAAGTCTTGATATAAATTTAAAGACCCTTCGGATCTATAAAATTCACAAGATCAAAACGATTAAAATTAATGTGATTCTTAGAATATTAAGCCTCAGTGGATCACTCTATACATTTATTTTATTGTACAAATAAAGGTAGTATTTGCATTGTTCGTTTCCGACTCTTGTTTTTAAATGCTTAAATGAACACTGTTTCAAGCACTATTTCAACTGTTTCAACGTACGCCATTCTAAACGAAAGCCTTGTATTCGCAGTGGGAATATCTTCAAGTGCCTTCAAGCGCCCTTACAAGATCTTCGCAGTTGGTTTCGACCTTGTGCGGCGTCGATCGGCTCATCTCAGGGTCTACGAGCCAACTCGCTCATGACACATCAAGGAATCGGATACGTCGACGACTCCAGCGTCGACAGCAGTGGCAGCGGTAGCAGCAGCAATAGCAGCAACAGCAGCAATGGCAGCAGCAGTAGCAGCAGTAGCAGTACCAGCAGTAGCACCAACAGCGTTTCCGATGACGAAGCCTGTCCGAGCACCCCGATGGCCGAACATTCCGTTTCGCTGAACACTTCCACGGCGCCGCCTACGGTCAGAGCTTTCTCGTCGGATTCAGGGTACGTAATGGAATAAAATGGAGACCGGGCTCTCAAAATGCTTTGATGTATTTATTGTGAGAAGGACAGTGGAAACGGAATCACAATATGATCCTTTTAGAATATGAATAGTTTCTCCTGAATTTTTCAAGTCGGGAAAATATTGCACTTAGGAAAAAGAAAAACTTGAGGAGAAGTTGAAAGAATAGCTGAGAAAATTGTCGAGCATCTTGAAACTTTGTTATTTATTGTAAATGAGTGAACTTTTTCACAATATGTTGTCGTTTAGAACGAAGTTTTTTGCAAACGTTTGGCGTTGCTTTATGATAAAAATAATTTACATTCACGAAATGATTGAAGTGTAGCAAATAAGTAGACGGAGCACATTCGGCTAACCAAAAATCATAACAATTTTTTTTTATAAGTTTCATATACTGGGTATTTAAGAAAAAGGGTTCAGGATCTTAAGAGCCGACAGCACTCACAAAATGGAAAAGAATGTTCTAATGTAATAAATATGAGTCGAAAAATTAATATTGTCGGAGTTATAAACAATATATAAAATGCACTTCTGCTGTTTCTTGATTGGAGTATCATTTTTAACCATACTATGGATACTTTATCATAGTTCTTTGCAACTATTCACTGTTCACGAGAATGTTCAGAAAATACAAAAGAAGCGAGTAAGTCACTTGATTTAAAATAAGTAATTGTTCATAATTCCAATAATATTAATTTTTCGATCCATGTTTATTAGGACTTTTTTCCTCCATTTTGTGAGTATTATGCTTTTAAAGATCTGAACTCTTTTTTCAAAACACTTGTATATCCAATAGAAGAATGCGTATTTTAGAAATTCTGAAGAGATTCACTTTCCTATTGAGTACAGAAAATGGTGGAAAACTCGTCGAAGAAAAGTGTTGCTGTCTTTAATCAGCCGACTGTATTGTTAATTTAGGTTAGAGAACGTAATATCAATTTTTGCGATAAGAAGAAAGTTACGGTACTTTGAATCATTTGAGACTTACCCGTACTTACTTGTTTTATATACATTTATGTTCATCAGATCAATATCAGAACATTGATAAACTAACGTAGAAAATCTTTACAAAGATACTATCTTACATTGGTTGTGAACGTCACGGTTTCAGCTCGAGCCGGTGCAAAGCCAAATATGCCCGAAGAAGCCATAAGCGAACTATTCAGTAACTTATCCTTTTACCCCTTAGTTACCCCTTAGACTTTCCCCTCGTAGAATACTCCGTCCAGATATTCTTAGGTCGATGGGGTTGTACGTTCGCAAATTACATTCTGTTTCAAAACAATCATTGAAAGGCTCGGCAACGTCCCAGCTTGCCCAGCTGTCGAAGCAAAGATATCGCATTTCGTTGTAATGGACGATAGACGATAGCTTCTCTAACTCACGTTGCGCTCTTCCAGCTTCTCATCGGAGATCGGAGACCGTAGATCGCAGTACTTTGAGAACGTCAGCAGCAGTACGAGCAGCGGTAGCGACAAGAGCAGGAAGATCAGCGACTCGTTGGACTGCAACGAGGCCGACGATCACGAAAGGACCACGACGGCGGGAGCTAGCGGATTCAACCGAGGCTCCAAGTGGACCTCCTCCTTCCGCAGACTGCTCGGCCGGAAGTCGAAGGGCAAATCCGATTGTTCGTCGCAAACGAGTAAGACTGATAAGCCGCGATAAACGACACGACGTTTTGTGTAAGCGCTCGTCGCGAACGCGTATTCCCGTCCTGCCTCTGCCTGTTCGCGACGGGCGCGGCGTGCGAAGGAGATTCAAGGAGAATCTCTCGCGAACTCCGGACGAACCCCCCTCCCGCAGCGGAAGGGTCGCCGGGCATTGTGGAAACTGCCGAGGGTTCGCTTAATGACTCAGTCGAAGGATATCGGGGACATTTAGAAGGATTTAGGGATTTAGGGATCCTGGAATTTCCGAGAGAGTGGCTTGCGTATCTTGGAGCTCCTTTTCGGAGAGCGCTCGGCTGCGAAATAAAATGGCAAAAAGTGGGATCCAGCAGCCAACACTAGTATCTCAAGAAATATTAGAGTGAGAACGACTACTAACTTCTCCCTGCGTTCTTCTTTTTTCGCTCGTAACGATCTCCGCACGATCTTTTGTTACTTACTACGACGGTAAGTAGCGGTAAATGAAGTAGAAGTTGCATTCTCCGCTCCGGAATCCAGAAACCCTAAGTGTAGATCCCGACGTCCGTTTGCCGCGGTGTAGGAATTGAATTTCGTGCGAGTTAGAGTATCACGATTATACAGGGTGTCCGACAAGTAAAGACGAAATGCTCGCGCGCAGTTAGCGCGGAGACAGAGCTGAATAGGAAAGTCCTCTACTGTTCTGCAAACCTCGCAATGATTATGAAGAGATCAATTGAATATTATATTATGATAATTATATTGTACTTTATGTTGTATTATATTATATTGCGTTAAATTGTACTGTATCGTATTGTACTGTATTATATCATGCATTTATATTATATTGCGATATTATAATGTATCTGTTGACGATCTCTCTCCTGACAACGGCAGGTGGCGGATAATGCTAAATCGCACACCTCCATTGTCCAACAGCGTATGACGCCCGCCGTTGCCAGATTTTCAACAGATTCGAGCTATTTTGGACGAGACATTGTCCAAATCTGGAGCTCATCCTACCGCTCTCCTTCTAAGCGCGCTCATTCGCTAGTATTGTTTAATTAATTCTTCAATAACCATTGCGAAACTTACAAGATGGTGAAGGATCTTGCTGTTCACTTTGACCCGGTCTACTTGCACAGAAGCGTCTCATCGACAGTAATTGTCATTAACTGTTACGTTATATGTATGAAACGACAAGGAGCTAGATTATTAGAGACACAATATCGTGATCGGGGACTTTCTAGATATTTATTAGCGAATTATATCAGACAAGTTCTAAAGGCTCCGAGTTTCGAAAAAAAAGAAAAAAAAAGAAAAATGACGTAATATTGAGAAATTTAGTTCAAGTCAGGTGATATGAATAGTTATTGTTTGTATCTCCAGAGTTTCTTGCGCCGTTAATTTTTACTGTTATTATCATGACAAGGTTGTTGTTCCATTAGCCAAAGAGCGAAGGCAGTGAGACACATTTACAAGCGAAGATATCGATCGGTAAAAGTTCGAAAAATTTCGGAGGTCATGAATCGGAAATGATTTCTCAGCGTTCGTAAGCGTTCTGACGTTCCGTCGATCGACAGAGTCAATTTCCTAATGCGATTTTAAGTAAGCGTGTGGTGATAGCGATTGGACCAAATTGTTCACACGGCACAAATCTGTCGCGGCGATGTACAACGTAGAGAATTTCAACATATGTATATTATGGATGAATGGAAAGAAAATATATCATATTATATGAGAAATGAAGAAAGAGAGAGCGTACTTTTTTTCTACCTTTCCACGAAAAGATCCCAAAATATGTCGGCATTGAAAATCCAAAATAATTTCCCGACTTCAGTAAATCCACCCGAGAAATGAAGTGGCTTTCAATTTCCCAGATTATACGGAGAAAAAACCCAGTGTCGCTTCCTTCCACCCATTATTTACTATTAGCCGTCATGTATAAACAATTGTCGGTCTAGATACAAACAACGACGAATTAAAAAGCAGGACCGATAAGCGTTATCTTATCGCGTTATCTACACACCAGATGTGAAATTTGCAAGTATATAATTACTCATTAATTCCACGTAATGTGTTCTGATGCGAATTACTAAGAGAAAGTCCACGAAGTCAAATTAACTCTTAGAAGTTCGCGTAAGACCAGGATTGTCTATTAAAGTTTCGGATTTCCAGATTCCATAAGATTCGGGAAGATCCTTTCGCGGAGTACCTTACGGAGTTTCTTCTCGAGGAAGTGGCGCCGTCCCGAAGGACGCGATTCTACCTCGTTAACCCTTAAGGACTATGACTGAAGTTTCACCCATATAAATTTTGTTTTGATCTTATAAAAAAATGTATGTAAACAACTTTTCTTCCTTTCATCTAACATTCAATAATAATAAAACATTTAATTGCATTTGTTTGACCTTTTTGATTTCTAAAATAAAAGAGTGTACAATGTGTGTAAAAAAAAAAGCTCAAGACTTTGAGGACAAATAGTACTCACTAAATGGAAGAAGAAGGATCCTAATAAACATGGGCCGAGAAATTAATATTGTCAGAGTTATTTTAATTAAAGCAAACGATTTACTCGCCTCTAATGCACGGCCATGCATGAAATTGCATTTCTACTATTTCTTCATTAGAGTAGTACGACGTCATTCTTACCGTACTCTGAGGATTTTATGATAGCTCTTTGCAACTGTTGACTGTTCATGAGGATATGTGACCAACAACGAGCATATGTAACTAACACTCGACAAAAACAGGTACGTCGTATCCACGTCGAATCCATGTGATTTACATAGACTTTGTGGATGGACACATATCTACGAAGTATCAACATAGATTCAACGTTCTGTGTTCCTCGATACGATCGAAGTTCTATATCCTCGAAATACCACTATCGATTCCACGTGAATATTTTCCCCACTTACGTTCCTTTACCTTTCCCTTATTGCACCTGTACAGGTTGTGTGAAAAGTCGCGGAGCGAAACTAAAATAAAGAATACCAAATTCTAAAAATGATTTTATTCTTCAATATAGTCTCCATTAACTTCAATACACTTGTCCCAATGGCTCTCCAATAATTTTATTCCATCGCGGAAATGTGTTTCTGGAAGGTCTGCGAAATATGCCTCTGCGGCTGCTATAGCTTCTTCATTCAACAAAAAATGCTTTCCACGCAGGAATTGTTTCAGGTTTCGGAACAGATAGAAGTCGCTAATTTGGCGAATATGGTGGATGATCAAGCAATTTGTACTTCAATTCATTGAATTTAGACATTGACAAAACCACAAAAGTGTTTTGTGAGCAGAACTTGTGTGAGCAGGTGCGTTGTCTCGGTGAAAAATGATTTGTTTGTGCTGCAAACCAGGTCTTTTCTCACGAATTTTTGCATCCAATTGATCCGAAAGGTTACAATAATATTCAGAGTTAATTGTCTTATCTTTTTCCAGATAGATTCAATTAACAAGATCCCTTTAGCATCCCAAAAACTGATGCCTTTTTTGTCGATCTTTCATGCTTTGTTTGCTTTGCAGCTGAACATCCAGCTTCAGTCCACTGTAAACGTTCCTGTTTCAATTTAGGTTCATGGTGATAGATCCAAGTCTCATCCATAATTATAAAACGACGCACAAAATCGGTTTTATTCTTCTTAAAACGATCCAAATGACGCTGAGAAATTTGCTTTCGAGAGAGTTTTTGTTGAATTGTTAACGTATGCGGCATCACTTTTTCAAACACCTTTTTCATTTGTAATTCTTTATGCAAAATATGCCGTATCCGTCCATCTGAAATGCCTATGGTATGAGAAATTTCACGCGCAGTCACACTTGGATCTTCAGAAACAATAACATGTATTTGCTCAATGATTTCTGATGTTGATGCGCTTTTTGGACGTCCACTGCGTGGATCATCTTCAATGCTTGTACGACTACGTTGAAACTCAAGTGCCCATTTACAAACCATTGATTTTGAAGGAGCAGATTCCCCTAACACATTTACCATCTCGGAATGAATTTCCATTGCCTTTAAACCTTTTTTAACTTTTTAAACTTTTTCAACAAAAACTCTCTCGAAAGCAAATTTCTCAGCGTCATTTGGATCGTTTTAAGAAGAATAAAACCGATTTTGTGCGTCGTTTTATAATTATGGATGAGACTTGGATCTATCACCATGAACCTAAATTGAAACAGGAACGTTTACAGTGGACTGAAGCTAGATGTTCAGCTGCAAAGCAAACAAAGCATGAAAGATCGGCAAAAAAGGCATCAGTTTTTGGGATGCTAAAGGGATCTTGTTAATTGAATCTATCTGGAAAAAGATAAGACAATTAAAGAACTCAATCACTGCACGCTGTTTCAAATTTTCCATTGCAAACAAATATACTGACACGTCAACTTCAATTGGCTTGTAAACACGGAAAGAATTGACAGATGGAAATGAAACCTAACCCAGGTTTATGTGAAGAGTGATTCTATATAACCGACTACAATTTATAATTCTACCGTTTACTTATAGATGCCGCTCCGCGAAATTTTTCACGCAACCTGTACTTCCTGCCTCAGGACTGTTACATCATCAGGCGCTTACTAGTAGCTGTAATTACAAATAATTTTACAGCTGCTAATAAATGCTTCTTAGATGTTATGATGTCAACAATACTGAAGCAGAGAGCGCGACAGTTAGATCTATGGCCGCTATGCATGTGGGTGCAATTAGGGAAAGGTAAATAAATGGGGGAAAACTCTCGAAAATCTTAAGAAGTGAAAGTAATTCCCAAACACTGTGCTATAATATGATAACATTTTTTTCTTTTTCTTTAGTAATTCTTATTTGTTAACTTCCTTATACTTCAGTGCAATAAGCCTATCCTAGTCATTTCAATGAAATATTTACATTTCAATAAAATATTTACTTATTTTTACATATAATTATATTTATCATAAGTGTTCATTATATTTATTTTTTAGTGACAAGTATTAAATGTATTTATTATTGTATTTACTATTGTCTTTAATAATTATATTATTAGGTGTGCAACTTTGCTTCCGCCGTTTTCCTATAGATGGCTTTAGCGGTAAGTAGTGGTCGAAATAAATAGATCATAGACGTCATGCAATAAATTTGGGCATCTGTCAACATAACCCCATAGAAACATTAGTCGATTTGTGTCTGCATCATAAAGTTATTCTCGATTGAAAATGTCAGTTTACGAGCCAAATTCTCGTCATTTGCGGGAGGTTTTAATTTTCTGCTTCAATATGAAGAAATCTGCAGCTGAGGCTCATCGAATGCTCTCAAATACTTATGGTGAGGCCGCTATTAGTGAAAGAACGTGTCGTGAGTGGTTTCAACGCTTCAAGAACGGTGATTTTCACGTCAAAGACCGGCATAGCGGTGGAAGAGAGAAGGTTTTCGAACATGCAGAATTGGAGGCATTAATTAATGAAGACTCGTGTCAAAGTCAAGAAGAATTGGTACGATCATTGGGAGTGACTCAACAAGCAATTTCAAAACGTCTCAAAGACATGGGAATGATTCAGAAGCAAGGAAATTGGGTGCTGTACGAGTTGTAACCGAGAGATGTTGAACGGCGTTTGTTTGCTTGTGAACAGTTGCTTGAAAGGCAAAGACGGAAGGGATTTCTGCATCGCATTGTGACTGGGGACGAAAAATGAATTCATTACGATAACCCCAAGCGCAGAAAATCATGGACATATCCCGGCCATGTTTCCACGTCGACGGCCAAACCGAATATTCACGGCTCCAAGGTCATGCTCTGCATTTGGTGAGACCAGCTTGGCGTAGTGTATTATGAGCTGTTAAAACCGACTGAAACAATCACAGGCGATCGTTATCGAACGCAATTAATGCGTTTGAGCCGAGCATTGAAAGACAAACGGCCGCAATACAACGAGAGACACGATAAAGTGATTTTGCAGCATGACAATACTCGACCCCATGTTGCGAAAGTGATCAAGACATACTTGGAAACGTTGAAATGGGAAGTCCTACCCAACCTGCCGTATTCTCCAGACGTTGCTCCCTCTGACTATCACTTGTTTCGATCAATGGCACACGGCCTGGTTGACCAGCATTTCCGGTCTTATGAAGAAGTAAGAAATTGGATCGATTCGTGGATCGCTTCAAAAGATGACCAGTTTTTTCAACGCGGGATTCGTACACTGCCCGAAAGATGGGAGAAAGTAGTGGCCAGCGATGGACAATACTTTGAATCATAAATGTATAACCAGTTTTTTACAATAAAGTCTCGAATTTCGGAGAAAAAACGATGGAAGCAAAGTTGTACATCTAATATGTTGTTCAATAATATAAAATAAAGATAAATATTTTCGTTTGTGCTATTTTCCTTCAATTTTAACCTAAAACCTTGTATGTAGTGAAAGAGATCAACTCGATTATGAAACTAAAAATCACGCAGATCCTATGTATGGATATATTCGTGGAAATATCCAAAATTCGTGGAATTATCATGTAGATTTCTACGTCGATTCAATGATCTAATCCACGTGGATTCTAGTCACCGTTTTTGAACGGATCATCCACTCGATCCACACGGTGTTCATATCGATAGTCCATGTGAATTTCACGTACCTGTTTTTGTCAATCACTTAAGTGAAGCGTGTGTACAAGTGAAAAATAGACGTTTGTTTACATTCCGAGCAGGAGCAAAAGAACTTTTTTTTTCAAGGATTCCTCTAAAGCGTAGTATTCTCTTCACCGATAAGTGAAATAGACGAATTAATCAGAGAATATAAAACCACCAGAAGCGCGTGAGTCACTTGCTTTGATCAAAATAAATAATTCCTCATAACTCCGATAATATTAATTTTTCGATTCATGTTTACCAGGACTTTTTTCCAGGACATTTTGTCAGTACTATCTGCCCTTAAAGGCTTGAACCCTTTTCGTTAACACCCTGTATACCGGGATGAAATTTTGTCCATGATAGCATTAACGTAATTTACCCGAAAATAATACCCAGTCAGAACCACAACTTGTTGATTCAAGGGTGTTGATTCAACCCTGATCAACAAAAGGTTGATGAGGGTTGAATTAACGTCGATTCAACATTTTATCGGCCATTTCAACGTCAAATCAACGTCCAATCAACGTTATGTTTCTGAGAGGGATACCCACAACGTTGATTCGACGTCGATGAAAGTTGAATTAACGTCGATTCAACATTTCATCGACCATTTCAACGTCGAATCAACATTATGGTTCTGACTGGGATAGCTTTTAAGTGTTAGATACGCTAATTAGCCGCGGTATGTCGATGCCGGTGACTCTCGCAGTCGTTCTCACCGGGATCGCCTCATCGCTGGTTGCCTTCACCGGCGTTCGTCGACGTTCGTTCGCTCATTCGCCCATAGATACTCCCACCCGCGATAAAGCGCGCCGTTAAGAAACCGGTGCATGGAAGCGGCTGAAGCCATATACATCGGAAGAGCGACGATCCCGGTAGTTGGTTCTCGGCGTCGTGAAGTGAACATTGGTGCAACGACGTTCCACGACGTGCCACACGCACTACGTTTAGCGCAACAGGTATGCACTATCTATTATTAGACGAGACTCGAGGACTCCAGGCATTTTCAAGTCGCGCGAGGCGACGTTGTTTCGCGACGGGGAGGGAAACGCGGAACGATTCGCGAGTTTGACAACGAGTTTGAGCGGAAACACGCATCGCGTTGACTCGAGAAATCGACGCACGATTTCTCGCGCGGAAGAAAGTTCGGGTCCGTCGCGTCGGGTCAAACCGCGTCGACGTCGAGGGGGACACCCGGACGCTCAAGCGATCGCTGCTTTTCTTCGTACTTTATTAATGGCTACGTTCAATAGAACAAAATTATCAGTGAGCGCTTAGTGATTATTGTCTGTGATTGGAATATTCTTTTAGATTCTTCATAGACCCAGAAGTATTTACCAATCAGGAGCGAGAATCACTAAGCGCTCACTGATCACTTTGTTCTGCTGAACGCAGCCAATGTTACTATTACATTCGACGACTACGTGCTGCCAAAGGTGTCATTTTGGCGAACAATCAAGAGTGCTTCCTAAGTTACGTGACAGAAGTCGACGATGCAGCTCCTCGCCAGGAGCGGCAACGTGAGAAATGAAAAGTTTCACATTTCTTCTCATTCGAAAAGTTGCACGGCATGGAAGTCGGCTTGTTCGAAGGTTACGCGTGACGTCGAGTTCGCGTGAAATCGTTCGCCCGCCTTCCGAGAAAAGTTACCCGATCGGTATCAAGGATGGTCTTATCTCTGTGTCACTTATCAAACACAAAACAAGAGCAGAGTGATGCTCGCGATTTCGCTGAATGATAAACGCCCAAAGTCAGCGCTTCGCGTCTTGTGAAAACAAACGCGATCGCGACGGAAGGACGATCGAGCGGAGGCGCCAAAATTCCCGTTTTTTCGGACCTCGCGATCGATGCGGGAGAGAGACAGATAAAATCGGATCGAGAACGCGTTAAAAGCTATCCGGTTGACCCTGGATAATCGAGTGGTGTTGGGGCACTCGGAGAGGGCACCCGCGTTTGGACGAATCGTTAATGATGTAATTCGCATGGAACATTTCGCATACCCCGCCAATGCCGTCATGGAGTTTTTACGAGCGGTCTAGCCGCGGCGAGGCGGCCACGAGGAGAAAAGCGATCTATTAAAAGGGATTGTAAATCAGGCAGAAAACCGGAGGCAGATTAAGCGGGAATGAGACACAAACCCTAGTAGCATACTTCATTGGCGTTACATTGGAGTTACATTGGTTACGGCGACATAAATTGGGGTTACATTGGCCCAATGTATCCCAACATACAGCCAATATTGGTTAGACATTAAATATCAATATATCGCCAATATTGTATAGCATTGTTATACCAATATTGACTTACATTGTGGTTACATTGGCCCCAATGTATCCTAATATGCAGCCAATGTTGGTCAGATATCAAATTACAAGATATCGCCAATATTGCATAGCATTGTTATACCAATATTGACTTACATTGGGGTTACATTGGCCGATATTGGGGACCCAATTTGTAGTCAATATTGGCTCAACAATATATGCTACTAGGGAAGTGACGAGCTCGCGCTGAGTTCGCTGAAGGCGATAAAGGTGCTCCGCCCCTCTTAGTTATCTCCTTCTCTGAATCTGCGTTCAACGATCAAGCCGAGACGGCTGTTTATTTTTCCCGGACGTCGGTGGGATCGATTACTCGCCACAGGGCTACGTGCGCACTTTGTGTCCCGAGCGTGGAAAATATTTGGATGTGGCACAATTGACACGCGCAGTCGCGCGAGTCGAATAGACAGACACGGGCGGATTCCGCAGGTAGAAACGCAGACGGCGAGCAGGCCCGTGCAAAAGGCAGGCGGCGAGCAAGTCGCCTCGCGAGGAGCGATTCTTTCGTCGCCGCAAGTGCGCTCCCGAGCGTCGCAATATATTATTTGGACCGGCATTGGTGGCGCATCGCGTTCACCTTGAGTCTCTCATGCGAGGAGGTGCACACTCGTCTTACACATGGCGCGCGTTTAAATTTATCCTCACGTCGCATACATTATCAGCGGCACCCGCGACGGCATCAATGAGGAGGTCGTTTGGAAAGTACCGATCAACGGTAGAGATTTCACATTCCTCGCGTCGAGCTCCTCTGCCTTCGCCAGACGGAGGCTCGCGCCGAAAGCCATCGAGCATCGCCTGTAAAAAAGTATCAGGTGTTTCGGCTCATTCTGGGGATTTACGATGAGTGGAGATTGTTATTTATTACCCAAATTATTAGGTTGGCGCAAAGTAATTGCGGCAGTTATCAGGGTTGGGAAGTAACTCGTTACTTGTAACGAAGTTACAGTTAGTTATTTTTCTTTTTTTTTTTTTTTTGGTAACTATAACTTAACTTCGTCCCGTTTTTTCCGTCTACAACTGTGACTTAACTTAGTTACATTTGTTCGATAACTAGTAACTAATTTAATGGTTACTTTAACAGTTACTTTATATATTTCAAACTTGAGTTTCTGGTAGACCAGCACGGTAGTGCGATGTGCGATGCTTGATATTCAATAAACATACAGTTATTTTGGTTGCATCTGGAAAACATGTCATTGCGTCATCCATCTTTATCATTTATTTGATGTAAAACAAGGATAAAATAACGCAATAGCGCAATAGATAGTCTCTTCTCCGAATGCAATCTGTATTCCATTCAAAAAAATTGTATGCATATTAGACATTTCCGTTGCGCGTCGCCAGTCTTATTTATTAACATAACCTGTGTTCAGCGTGAAGTGCGCTGCGTGGTTTCAGTTATACAGGGTGTCCCATTTTAATGTCCCACCTCAAATAACTCTTCAGTATTGAAGTTTCAAAGAAAATTATCTGAATAAAAGTTGTAGGGATTTAAGTGAGCTATCTTATGATAACCTTGACCTCTATTTTCAAGATCATTTGAAGGTTAACTTGCGTTTTTTAAATGGAAACCCTTATTTTTTTTACACTGTTTTTTTACTAGTTAATTTGAACAACTTTTGTCTAAAAAATTTTTTTATTTGTCTAATATTTTTTGAGATATTTGAAAAAAACTTGATAACTTTTTCAATATTTAACTTACGATATCTCGTTAACTATTTGTCGGAAGAAAAAGTGGTACTAGATTTTTTTGCTCTACTTGGTCTCAAGAATATATTGTTAGGATAGCGCCCTGATTTTTGTTAATTTGATGATTTTGAAATTTCCAAAAATCAGTAAATTAACAAAAATCAAGGCGCTATTGTAACAATACATACTTGAGAATAAATAAAGCAAGAAAGTCTAGTATCACTTTTTCTTCCGACAAATAGTTAGCGAGATATCGTAAGTTAAATATTGAAAAAGTTATCGAGATTTCCTCAAATATCTCAAAAAATATTAGACAAGTAAAAAAATGTTTTGGACAAAAGTTGTTCAAATTAACTAGTAGAAAAAAATAGTGTAATAAAAAATAAGGGTTCCCATTTAAAAAACGCAAGTTGACCTTCAAGTGACCTTGAAAATAGAGGTCAAGGTCATCATAAGGTAGCTCACTTAAATCCCTACAACTTTTTTTCAGATTTTTTTTCGGATCATTTTCCTTAAAATTTCAATACTGGAGAGTTATTTGGGGTGAGACATTAAAATGGGACACTCTGTATATAAAATTCAAGCAATGGATAAAACATTTCAATCTTCGGAGAAGGGTTATAAAATGCCATGGTCAGCATATACAGAAATATTCGAGTCATACCAAAAATTTGGAAACAAGAACAACTGGACATTTTTCTGCGAAATTTGTGCTAGCAAAACAATTATTCGTGCAAGTAGAACTTCAACTGCAAATTTAAGAAAACATATAAGTCTTTATTTATAAAATATCAATATATTTTTTAGTGAAAAAATTTAATTTTTGCTGTTAAGATTATTTTTAGTATTTTTAGTATTTATTCTCCTCATCAAATTTACTCACTTTCTTATAATTGTCACTGTATAATAGTCTTAAATAATAAATATAAATTGCTTATTTAAATTAATGAATCTAATTTGTAAAAATTATATACAACATAAGGAATATATAATAATCAACAAATTACTTTTATATATTAGGAGTACAAATAAGTTTCCGCCGTTTTCTATCAAAAATTAGGAATTTATTGTGAAAGAACGATACATTACGTTTTATTCAAAGTATTGTCCATCACTAGCCACTACTTTTTCCCATCTTTCTGGCAGCATTCGGATACCACGTCGGAAGAACTCTTCATCTTTTGAGGCTATCCACGAATCGACCCAATTTTTAGTATCTTCATATGATGTAAAGCACTGCTTAGACAGGCCATGTGCCATCGACCGGAACAAGTGATAATCGGAAGGGGCAATGTCTGGTGAATACGGCGGGTGGGGTAGGACTTCCCAATTAAGTGTTTCCAAATAGGTTTTGAGGGAGAAATAGGAGAATAATTTTGTCGTGTCTGGAGTAGTAATGGGCGCGTTATTCCTTGAGTGCTCGGCTCAATCTCATTAATTGTGTTCGGTAGAGAGCTCCAGTAATGGTTTCGCTCGGTTTGAGCAGCTCATAATACACGATACCAAGTTGATCCCACCAAATACACAGCATGAGTTTTTTTCCATGAATATTCGGTTTGGCTGTCGATGTTGAAGCATGGCCAGGTAGTCCCCATGATTTTCTCTTCTTTGGGTTATCGTAGTGGATCCATTTTTCATCACCAGTGACTATACGATGCAAAAAACCCTTTCTTTTATGCCTGGCATTTCACACGTGCAAAATCGGCGTTCAACGTCTCTAGGCTTCAGTTCATATGGAACCCAATTTCCTTGTTTTTTAATCATTTCCAACGATTTTAAACGATGTGAAATTGCTTGTTGAGTCACTTCTAATGTAAGTGCAAGTTCTTTTTGCGTTTGGCACGAATCTTCCTCCAATAATGCTTCCAATTCCGTGTCTTCGCACATTTGCGGCCTTCCACTACGTTCTTTGTCTTTCACGTCAAACTCACTGTTTTAAAACTTTTGAAACCACTCACGACAACTTCTCTCACTTAAAGCAATCTCACCATATGCTTCTACAAGCAATCGATGCGCCTCAGCTGCAGATTTCTTCAAATTAAAGAAGTAAATCAAAAGTTCTCGCAAATGACGCTTATTCGGCACAAAACTTGACATTTTCGCACGAAAAAAATTGTGATGCTGATACGGAGTCACTAATACTTTAAGGTTATGTTGTTACCAGATGTCCAACCTTACGATATTACGTTTTACATCTGACAATTTCAACATAACCTTCTGATGGGGCCATCTTTTGTCAAACGGCGGAAACTTATTTCCTAATATACTCCTAATAAAATTGAAGGGATTTATACAATTACGAAATTTAAAATAATAGCACAATTATTATAAAAAATAACTGAAAAGTAACGACTCGTTACTTTCTAAATAACTATAACATATTATTTTTGTAGGTCAGTAACTTGTAACTGTAACTACTTAGTTTTTCAATGAAAAAACTGTAACTGTAACTAGATACTTTTACAAAATAACTTTCCCAACCCTAGTTCTTATCATTTTAAGTTGGACGTCAATTTTCCTAACTACCGTTACCTTTTCCAGAATTATATATTGTAGAAATAAACAAACTTGTTTCCCGTCGGGAGGAATATGTGCGGTCGAACCTGACCTTTCGAAGTGACCTTTATTTTGATTAATAAATATAATTTTTAACTGATATACGCGTCTTTATGCTCGATACATAAAAATAATTATTTTTGTACCAACCTCATATTTAAATATATAATATAATATAATATAACATTATACAATATTATATTATAATATATTATATTTTCCGTCGCTTGCTACAACTTTTTCCCATCTTTCCGGTAATAAGTGGATTCCATGAGAAAAGGATTTACCTCTAGAAGCAATCCGCATTCACCGTCTTATCCTCAAAATAACTCTTAATATAACTAGCTGTGGTAAACTAGCGAGTGATAAATGATTGTTGCTTAGTAATTTGAATACTAAATGTATGAGTAATGAATAATTACTAATGAATGAGTAATTACTCATTGTACTATTATCGGCTGTGATAAGCGATTGCCGTTCAGTGAATTTATCGCTCATACGGGAATACTGAAATTACGGAGCAACAATAATTTATCACTATCAATTCAATCATAGCCGATAGTACTTTTCCATAAAAGGTGTGCCCGCGAAAAGAAGAAGACGGGAAAGATACGGTTCGAAGGGATTAACTGTTAACACTGGACGATAGTTGCCGCTACGTCGAGCTGTCGACTTATCGAGCAGTCGAGCATGTAACGATGCAATTAGATCACTTGTTATCTTCATATATCAAGTTAAAGCGTCATTGAAATAAACGAAATTGAGATGTGAGTCACGTACCTGACAAGTTCCTGTGTACATACGTATGCGCATGTACAGTCCGTGCGCAGCAAGTGTCGCATGCAATCTGCATCGTTCTTTTTTTTTTTCGAGACAGCTTCGCACGCATAACGCGATGACACGTCGCGAGACTTGACAGAAGAGTGCCATTTCTTACGACAATTCGGAAACGAGCGAACAATCGTGACGGTTCATTCGAAGGTACGTGCGTACGCGCGCATGCGACAGCCCATCGGAAGTAACAATTCCCAGATAGCACAATTAATTCTCAACGTATTCACAAAGTGTTCTTCCTTTTTGAGCTACAGTTCCTCAGGAATTCGTAAAAGAATACTGGAAGAATGACTAGGGAAGTTACATGCACCATGATTGGAATTTCCCAGAAGTTCGTGATGTACTCATGTAGAGATATTTTTCTGATCAATAGATGTATAATTAACGAATTTAAGAGGAATAGAGTTTGAGAACAGAAAGATGATTACAAAATAGTTGTAGGAGAGAGTAAAAAGCACAAAATATAATATAATGAAAATTATATTTTTATAATAATATAAATAATATTATATTATATTGCACGCGTGTATACATTTGTACAATATATAAACTTAAATATCTTTAATAAAATAAGCTGTCCACGAAATAATTTTCATATTTCATCTAATTGCTTATATTTTTTATCTCGAGTTGTACGCCTGTAAAGATTCAAAGACATATACATTTGTTAAAAAAAAAATGTCCTTATTGTCTGTAGCATAAAGGGAATGCCATATTTCATAATTAAACTAAAATAATATTACCCAAGTAGAAAAATTTGGAGAAAAACCTGAAAATTAATTAGAAACAGGCGTTTCTAATTAATTTTCTCTCTGGTTCTTAATTTTTCTTCTTATTTTTTGTAATGGGTAATTCTTGGGTAATTGGTAATTCTGGGTAATTCTGTCAATAACATTTACATCACATTACTTTCAATCCATGGCTGTATTCCAAATTGTGTCCATTGAGTTAATAGCGCGCTTCTGCCTCCTAATTGTTAGTTCTATCTTATTTTAGGATAGATAATCCTAAAGAGCATCCTAAAGAGTGTTCAATTCTAAAAATCGGCCCAGTTTAATCTGCAATAAAATAATCAAAATTGTATAATAAACCGTAAAGGAAAGAATAGACATTTAATAAGATTTTATAAAATTAACTGAATGAAAGAAAATAATATTATATCTATACATAATATTGATCAATAATATTGATTTTGAGATTATATGGTAAATTTAAGAAGAAATGTATACTCGTATAAGAAATTAAATCAATTTAACCTACTTATTACATGAAATATTTATAGTCCGTGTTGTCCTTTCTCCTCATACTACAAGTTATTCAAGTATCAAGTCTCGAAAATAAAAAAATAACCGAATCACTACAGGAAATACTCGATAACGTGGATAACACTTGTACAAAATAGTTGGTATATTCACGTATGCATTATAGAGGCTGTGTTCTAAGGATGAGATCATACAATACGGGAATGAGCGTGCCGGATGGAAGATTTATGATTCGAACAACCAATCAACGCTCTTCCGTACTTTTTTATAAATACTGCGCGAAGTATTCATGAAGTATTCTTCAGATATTCACTTTACTCGTTCTGCAACTATTCTTTACAATGAATTCCTTATGAACTTCCATTCACCTCTGTGCTATCTGGGAACGTTCAGAATTTCATGAATGGACTGATGAATTTGGATCGATCGAGCGTGCCTTCTTATTTAGCAACTGTTCGACACAACTTCTACTCGAACCTGTTTGTTCCAACGAGACTTAATGAGAAATACTCGGTAACTTCTATAACGGGAAGATTACGAAGAGTCGCAAAAAACTGCGCCGCGTTCAAATTGCAAACACTACGATAAGATAATCGGTAGAAATCGCGTGAACGACGTTCGCTTGCGTGCACGCGGACGCGCGGCGTGCAAAAATTGTAAACGCGCTGAGCGCAACCGATACTGGTTTCGCGAGCGGGAGGAGAAGACGAAAGCGAAGGAGAGACGGAAAGAGAGATGTGGGGAATTTCTCGTCAACAAAACAAACTCGATGACGATCGGTCGTCTTATACAACGTCGGAATAAGATATCATTCTGTCGTCTCGCGTATAACAGAAATCCCGGAGAACTGAAAACACGAAATTAGGAAACTGCTTTCACGCTCTATTTCGCATGACCGCGTAGAGGTCATCATTGATCGGCGCACAAGGTCGTTCGAGTGCGCGTCTAATCGGTTCGCAAAATGTCGCTCCATGTCGGCTCTCGAGATCGGCAATCTGTTTCCGTACGTGCGATCCTATTCTCGTCTTCGGCCGGCAAAGAATTCCGTGCCCACGACGTCACCGGGTCTCGAGTTTCTTAAACAGGATCTACAATAAGAGTCGTAAGGTCGTAAGAACGTTGATCAATCACAGTATCGATTATTCTCCGACCTCGAGGAGGATAATCGAGTGCGATTAGTCGATTTTCTTACGATTTTACGATTTTTATTAAACCTGTTCTAAAATTGGTTTTGGAAACTTTGGTTTTAGTTGTAAGGTTAGTAGGCGCCTTAAACTAACTCAGATACGCTCCGTAATTGTTCAGCTGATTACGCTCGGACGTTCACAATCATATCTATTACTGTTTATAAACTAGATAAACTAGATTTTAACTATTAATTTTGTAATATCGGATAGAGAAATGGATACATTTTTCATTATTTATCATCTTGATAAATGATCAATTAAGATAAATGGAACGTATCTAGGTCAGTTTAAGGCCTACCAACCTTATGATTAAAACGAAAATTTTCGAAACCGATTTCAGAACAGGTCTATTACAAACTCAGCTTTGTATTTCCGCGCGACCCTTCCCGCCTTCTTTGTCTTTATCAGCAATTTTACGATCCCGCTAATGATTCATACGACTTCGCACGAGATACACGTACAAAACATCTACCCGCTATCGATTTCCTCCACGACATTGTAATATCCTTCTTTTTGTGCTTTCGGTTTGCCAATCAGGAGACGAACAGCGACAATGAACAAAAATGATCAGCCGCCCCCGTCCGGTTTCGCGCCTGGTTTTGTGCCGCCACCTCCTTACGAGCAGCAGCAGCAGCAGCAACAACCGCAAATGCAAATGCCACGTAAGTACCAAATCGACGAATTCACGTACGGTTGGCCGATTAACAGCTTTAGTTGTTGATAATGAAAATATCCGCGGAAAGAAAAGTAGCCCAAAATGTTAATAGCGGAATCATCCGGGCATTCCAAAAAAAGATACTTGTAACGAAGCGATTGAAACAGGACACAATATTTTTATGTGTTTGGAGTCGCTGAATTCAAATTCGAGGTCAAAACTGCGAAATTCAAAATGGAGGATTTAATATGGCGGACTAAAAACTCAAAAAGAATCATTCTATTTATATAAAAATTAGAATTCAAAGGTTTTTGAAGCCGTTGATTTCACATTCGGAATAAACATTTATGAATTCAAAATGGCAAATTCGATAGGATAGGCAACACAAAAAACTTAAAATGGTTCAATTTGCGTAAGAAATAATTTTAATGTTTTTAAAGCCTGATTTCTGATTTCGTTTCTGAGATAGAAATTTGTTAAGTCAAAACAATAGAGATTCAATATGATAGCGAGGAATTTAAAATATCCCTCGATTTGCATAAAAATTGATATTTCATCATCAATAGTTTGGGCCACTTTTCTTCCCACAGATATTTCTACTATTAATAGCTAAAGCGACGTTGTTTTCTGATGAGTTTTGCAACATTTTTCCTGTATCCAGCAGGAAAATATTTCCTTTAGTCATTCCTAGAAGATTGAATTTTCTATTGATGACAGGCCGAGAATTCAAAGAATCATTCAATTTGTATAAAAATTAGAATTCAAAGGTTTTTGGAGCCGTTGATTTCAAATTTGAAATAAAAATTCATGTATAAATTGGATAAATAAAATATAAAAATAAATAAACGAGAGATATAAAAAGAAAAATATAAAACGAAAAGATACATTCATGACATTTGTAAAATTGATTGAGTTTTTTCGAAAACTCACCTGTTGCTTTAACAATCGATGAATGAATCGGTGAAACAATCTGTAAAATTGACAGGATATGTGATCCTTCTCAATTTATTTTTTCTCTATAATATAATTTGGTCACATGAATCTTTCTATTCATCGATTGCTTCGACAAAAGGGAAACTCTGTAAAGCATTTCAGAAATGTGCTCGATCGATTACAAGTGTCACTTTATGGATACATTTCTTTGTTTGGCCTTAATCCGTAGGAATTTTTAACACGGATTTTCTCGTTTTTGATATTATATCATTCAAGATAATCACGACGAGGAAACGGGAGTTTCGATCTACAATGGATACGGCGAGTCTTGAGGTTTTTGCTCCAAGTCTTATAATATCTGGCGAAAAGCTTCCGGAAAGTTTTCCGTGCTGTTAACATAATCTGAAATCTGGTCAGCTCGCTTAAAATCTAAGGCTCCTGCCCACCACAATTATATAAAATAATGATGTTAGAAGCGAGAGAAATGACACGCTGAAAATTCTTGCATGCCATTTACAAATAAAAAGATATTTGTATGAAAGAATGCTAGAGCACACTTGCAAAATGCTCCGGTTGCTACTGTGTGGTCTTTTTATATTCAATCAACAACTATGAAACGACTGTAATGAGGTCTAGTTGTGTGCATGCGCAATCATTCCAAAGAATTAACCTCATTACAATTACCTTATTGATGTTGACTGACTTTTATATAGTCATATGTAGCACAACGAAGTATTTTGCAAGTATATTTTAGCACGACCTGAAATATTCTTTTATATAAATATTTGTAATATTTGTATTTCATGCAAAAATTTGAGCCAACTTTGTAAAAGATCTGGTTAAATCCAGAATCGTACTCAGTCAAAACTATAATGTTGGTTTGATGTTGAAACGGTCGATGGAACGTGGAATCAACGTTAATTCAAGCCTCATCGACGTCGAATCAACGTTGTGGTTCTGACTGGGGTATCATTCGAAAATGCTAAAAAAGATGTTATTTAAAAAATGTGTGTCACGGAATGCCACATGACTGGATACACGGAAAGTACACGTCATAGGACTCCAGCTACACTAAAAAACCAGTTCCTGATTCTCTGCCGCATAGCTCTTGACGTCAGAGACGAGGAAATGCGCGTTAAAAATTCTTGCAAAATATGACGAGATAAAAATACGAGATTAAAAGATATAGCTATAAAATGACGCTTGTAATCGGTCAAGCGGATCTATAAGATAATCTGAACACTTATTCTCATTCATTAAATTACCATGAAATTAATGTAACACGCAACTTTCCAAGTAACAAGATGATGCCATAAGTATACTCTTATCGACATATTATTGACGATAGAGAAGTCATTAATACGTCATTCTATTACTTGGAACATTCTTTTCCTCACGAAGAGATGTCACGTCGATTTTTACTTATTGATTATTAGAGCCAAAGAAAAATGTTCGGGTTATTTTATAAATCTACTCGATAGACATCGCAAATTTCATTTCGTGAACATATTTCTTTATTTCAATATATTTTGCAAAAATATTTTATAGTGTATTCTCCCGTTCTTAATATTACAACTCAAGACGGTCGTACAGTTTGAAGTAACTCGAGAAAACAGAAATCTTAATCACTGTATGTATGCACTGTCGTGCATATTTTGACAGTTCGTGGTTATTCGTGATTAAACCTTCACGAGATTTTGCACTTTTTTGAGTACTGATTTGATTGACTAAAATTTACTTATTCGAACCGAAAAATATTTTTTTATTGTGCAAATGTTGTATTCTTTTTAATATAGTATAAAAGCTAAACAGTGCGCGCGTAGCGCACCTCTGTAGTGTTCTAGTATAATAAAAAATTGGGGTTTCTATATAAGAAAAATGATCAGTGAATATCTCGAAAGTGGCGCCATCTATAAACGAAATGATATCGCTATCTTATGCCCCTTCAAACCAAAGAACTTTTGTCTAAAACATTCTTATCAGACCACTTTCTACAATGTTAATCAGGCGCAATTAAAATGGGACACCCTGTTTAATTATGTACGATTATATGTGGCCATATGTGGATAAAATTCCCATATAATATATACAGTACATACAGTACAAAAGTTGCAGCAATATTGCTGCAACGTTGCAACGCAGCTATTTTGCTACAATTCTTATGCTGTATGAGATATGATCTTTTCCGGATGATTAATAAACTATGACCCCGATAATTCTGTGACTCAATATGATGCGAATGCAGATGTGATCGTCATGGCGGGAAATTTCGGCCCGGAAACGCAGCGCATGACCTGTCCACAGTGTCACGCTAATGTAAGCACACGGGTGGAATCGGAAGCGAACACAAAGACGCACCTGATAGCGCTACTCCTCTGTATCTTTGGGTAAGACTTCGCGAGATGCGAATATAATTAATTGAATAAGACCACACAATTATATACGTATATTCGTCAATCCTTCTCTCTCCTTCCAGATTGTGGTGTTGCGCGCCGTGTCCTTATTGCATGGACACCTGCTTAGTCAAGAAGCATTACTGTCCAGCCTGCGGCGCTTACCTCGGGGCGTCCGAAAATTAATCTACCTTAGCTGCGATAAGAATACAAAGTAAACACTGCGACATCGCGTTACAATCGATCGGACTGCACGGAGCATACGCGGCTGACGTTGAACAATTTCATTGTTCACGCGTGAGACAGCTGCGGTAGTAAACCCTTCTGTAAATACAAGTTCACACAAAAAGGATGATGTGTGCACAGTTCAGTGTTCGTTCCTTCTTTTGTACAAGGATTATAAGATAATGAAAATTGTGTGTAAAGTCGTTCATATATTATTCGCAAGATTGCCGTTCAATACGTGTAAATGTGAGTACAGTAGAAAGTCGTGTAATTGTTTTCGCACTGTAGCGCGATACCAAAACATTTCACCTTGCCGTACCTGTGATCGAATATTCCGTGTTGATCGAAACTATCACGGAAAATATTAAGATATATTAGACTCGCAGAGTTACATTTATATGTATGTTTTTTACTCACACGGCAAATATATAAATACGCGACACTGTGTAACATTATTTCACATTCCACATTTATTTAAGAATATACTCTACCTCTTTTCGTTTCGCTATTTCTATTAATTATTTCCTTTTTTCAATACCTCCCTCTTCCTTTTTTGAATGTATTGTCGGGGAACGAGAATCAAACTACCGATAACAAAATTTCTTCAAAACTGTAAACGCAAGTCGCCGATGTTTTTTAAAATAAACAATAATTAAAATTAATAAAATAATCAGACAAAGAGAATTAAAGAGAAGGAGAAAAACATTAAATTAATCCATCATATTAATAGATATTATATTAATAGATATTTTTGTATTAATCTTATATTTGTAAACGTGTAATGTTTTACAACTTTTACTATGTCAGTGATAGCAGTTGATAACAATGATTTATTTTCGATAGTTCCTTTTGATACAAATTGTAAAATGTTTAGTTTCTGTAATTTATTTTTTGTAAATTTCGGCAGAATTAATTCTTTTTTTATTTTCTATGGCAGCTATTTTTGTTTTAATTGTTTATGGCTCTTTTTTATAAAATCGGCAGCTTATTTTTTGCTTATTTTCTTATCCTTATTTATTAAATTTCGGTTTATTAAATTTACTTTTTTATTTTTTTACAATTACTTTATTATTTCTTCATGACAGCTTCTTTGATTTTCTGAAAACTTTTGTAAATGCAGCAGTTTATTTTTTCTTTCATTTTCTGAGGATTGTTCTTGTCTTGTAAGTTCTGGCAGCTATTTTTTTGTTCTTACGACTGCTTAGTTCTTTTTCTGAAAACCTTTTGTAAATACGGCAACTTATTTTTGTCTTTTTCTGAACATTATTCTTGTCTCGTAAGCTTTCACAGCTACTTTTTTTCCTCTCATGGCAACCTATTTTTATCTTTTAAACACTGTTCAGTTTTATAAATTTTACTTTTTATTTATTTTTTTTGTGAAAGTTTATTTTGTCAGTATTGTCCTGTTTTGAAAATTCAATAGTTTTTTGTGGATTTCGGAAGCTCGTTCTTTTTTTGTTTATTTTGTGGATGAGATCCCTCGACTTTTTTAATGAAGTTCAATTTATTTATTCGTAACAAGTTTCGGAAGATACTTTCCGACAAACGTCAATTCCATCTTTAGTAGTTTGAGTCGCCTGCACAAGGTCCAGCTGATAACGTAGACTGAGGAATACTCTCGAATGAAGTAAACTTGTAGAGAGATGTCTTTTAGAACAGTTGTCACGTGCGCGAGTTTTTACTACTCATAGATCCAGTTGTCAGTCGCACGCGCCCAGTCGATCACTTCTTTTTCTCCGAACCACAGCTTGATCTCTTTCTTGGCGGACTCTACGGAATCAGATCCGTGGATGATGTTACGACCGACTTGTATACAATAATCACCACGGATTGTGCCGGGTGCGGAATCTTTCGGATTCGTCTCGCCTAACATTACACGACCTGTCTTTACAACGTCCAATCCTTCCCAGACCTGTAAAGTAGGAAATTTCATTAGAAAATTGCATTATTATACTCTTAATTTTCATTAAATATCATTGATTTTTGCTTTAACAGTGTAATTTGTCAGAAATCACTTAAACCACAAGTTTAACATTGTGACCAAAGTCAAAATATAGAATTGAATGATACAAGTTCTTTGTGCAACCATTTCAAAACTAAAGAATAGAGTTTATCACGACATATCAACATTATTTAATCTTCTGAATATAAAACTCTTTAGAACTAAATAATCTCCAAGGATATAATTACATTTGGACCATTGTAACTCAATTATTAATAAAAGAATAAAAAAATCTTGAAAAATCAAGAAGCAACAGACTGACAAATAAAATCTTGCTTGTTAACAACATGAGTACAAATATCTATTGTGATATCTGGTAACCATCACTTGTATAAAAAATATAAAGGATTTATTAAATATTTATTCCCATAGTCCACACAATAATGATACTCACAGAGCGCATATGTGCATCCATAGCATTGAAGATTAATAGCAACGTGAACTTACCATCGGTACGACTGGTCCTGAGCTCATGTATTTGACCAAGCCTGAGAAGAAGGGTTTCGATGCCAGATCAGCATAGTGTTCTTTCAAGAGGCTCTCGGTGGGCTGTGGTAAATGAGAGAATAAACTTCATTTTATACAAGTTTTAAATTTCTCTCAGATATAATTCCAAAGGACTCTTATGAGCTTGCAAGCTCAATTTTTGTAGCACACATCTCTAAGTATGACAGAGATAAATCATAAAATATCAGACCTAATAATTAAACAGAAACCAAGTTTAACGAGTTTTGCTTCCTAACCATTAGACACACTTTTTGACCTCTGCATCAATATTTTAAGAATTTAAGTGACAAAATTTGTTCAATTATTGTCATGTAACAAATAATGTTGTCAATAAGATTATTAATGATTAATGAAATTAAAAAGTTGCATCATATAGTAAAATAACATGTATTTAATCATATACTTAACCTAACCTAACCTTGAAAGTATATAACCATAAGGGATCATTTTAAAGTATAACATCGAGTTTGTTTGCAAAGAAACCACCTCTGACATCCAAATGATTGAATCCCAGTGAAGACTTTTACGATTCAGAGGTAAACTCAAACTCGACTTTTATCAAACTATTCATAAACAACTGATAAACAATTGTCGGGACCAATATCTTATATTTAGCATTCCCATACCTACATAATTATGTTCCAAACATTTCAGTTCACTGACTCATATTTCAAAGCATTGAAAAGTTATACTCGACGAGAGGATTCATTTTGCATTTGAAGTCTCGCGCCGCGCGCGTCGATCGCGATTTTCAGCCATGCAGCTTCCTGTCGCAGCTATAAGCCCCTTCGATTGCAGAGTCTTCAAGTTAATCAAATTTGCCTTTAAGATACGTAATAAGATGCGCTTCACGTCAACTTTTTTTTATTTGCATATCGCAATCGTGTTACGTCACACTTCTCTGCTCTGGTTTTTTTCTTTCTTTCTCAAAACGGTTTCATCCGTATATCTGTTTTTCAAGTCTATCAGGTTGCATTATTCGTTTTTCGAGTGAAACATACAAGATGTCCCACCCTCCAGGCAAATATCTCGAAAAATATGGAAGATATGGAAATATGTTTTAGACAAAAGTTGTATGGTTTCTAGGGCGATATAAAACAACTATATCAATTTGTTTACAGATGGCGCTATTTTCGAGATAGGTACTGATCATTACTTTTCTTAAATGGAAATCTCAGTTTCTTATTACACCATCTTTTTCTACCAATTAATTTTTATTTGCAACATTTTTTTATTTACTTAATATTTTGAGATATTTTAGGAAGATATAAGGAAAACTTGGTAACATTTCAATATTTAACTTACAATATCTCGCTAATTATTTGTCGGAAGAAAAAATAGTACTAGACTTTTTTACTGTATTTGATCTCAAGAATATATTGTTACTGCCCTAACCTTTGTTAATTTATCGACTTTTGGAAATTTCAAAATCATCAAATTAACAAAAATCAAAATACTATCGTAACAATATATTCTTGAGATTAAATAGAGTAAAAAAGTTTAATACCATTTTTTGTTTAGACAATAAGTTAGCGAGATATTGTAAGTTAAATATTGAAAAGGTTACCAAGTTTTCCTTAAATATCTCAAAAAATATTAGGCAAATAAAAAAATGTTTCAGACAAAAGTTGTTCAAATAAATTGATAGAAAAAGATGATACAATAAAAAATTGGGATTTCCATTTAAGAAAAGTAACTATCGGTGAATATCTTGAAAATGGCGTTATCTGTAAACAAACTGATATAGTTGTTTTATGTCCCCCTTAAAACCATGCAACTTTTGATTATCTGAAACATTTTTCCGTATCTTCCATATTTTTCCAGATATTTGTCTGGGGGTTTTTAAATGGGACACCCTGTATATAAAGTATCGAGAAGAGAAGGACCGAAGTTCAGCGCTAGTTTGGCGAGAAATAACGGGCCTCGAGTAATTTACACAAGCCGGCTTTAGCTCGCGATCAATCGGACATACTCGACTCGCCGGTGGCGCATTTGACACAAAAAGGGCAAGTCGGACTTTAATTTTGGGTATATAATCAAACAAATCCGCATGTACATACATATATATATATGTCTCACAGGGCCACGTGGCGCGCTCACGAACTTGCCATTGATCTCACGTTGACCGCGAGTGCAGTGAGAAGTCACGTGAACGGCCGCTTACCCAGACCATCTTCATGGCCAGCAGCTTGAAGCCCTTATCCTCGAAGCGCTGGATGATCTTGCCGATGAGACCGCGTTGCACGCCGTCCGGCTTGATCATGATGAAAGTGCGCTCCTTGGTATCCGCCATGACTGATTTGCAGATAATCTGTAGCAAGATGGAGATTGAGCACAGGACCATGCGGTGCCGACGAGCCGCGAAGGAGTGAGACCGAGATGCCGGGGAGCCGTGGCAGGCAGGTCTCGCCGAAGGTGGGGAGCGGATGTCGGGATGACGTCGCAGGTAACGCGTCGTCAAGCCGCCGGACGCACTTGTTCCTCCTGAACGTTAAGATGGCGGAGCGATCAGGGCTGTAAGGCGCGCGAGAGAGAGAGAGAGAGAGAGAGAGAGAGAGAGAGAGAGAGATCATGCGACTCGTGCGCGTGCCGACATCACGAACGGACGAAGCGATTTGGCTGTTTCGGCTTCGACCGCTCGAGCGAGGAATTCTACTCTCGTCCTTTCACCTCGCTCGTCTCGATATCCCGATAAAAATTACGTGTAACACGCGAGATTACGCGACACCGTCGTTGGACGCCACGTTGTTGAGCGATCACGTGACGCGCCTGTCGCGCGCGGAAGCGCATCGATTGGCGGTCCCGCAGCTCGGTTTGGCTTCACGACGCCGCCCGAGAATCCCCGAGAGTCGCCGAGCGCGTCACGTGAACTTCTCGTGCACGCGATTGCGTCTTCTCGCGAGATTCTTCGGCTGTTTTCAAGCTTGTTCTCTCGCGGCGAGCGCTCGAGAGTTGCACCGTTTGCCTTCCGAAAGCGAAAGCAATGCACGTCACATCTAAGGAAATGGAAATGAAAAACAGCGTTGATTTACCTATTTGACGATCTTCCACAAAGACCTATAGTTCATGCTACGGCTGTGTTGTTCCAAAATTCACTGCCAGTACTAGAAATACATAATTTGTGGCACGTATATTATAGATTTTCAGTGTTGGCAGTGAATATATCGGAACGCAGCCAACATTTTCATAAAACCGCGTGCAATATTTCCTCGAGAATCCTGCTTCAGGTCTTCCTCGAAGCTTTCCCGGCCGCTTCTTCTGCGAGCCTCGCTCGCACCCTCTGCGACGCGCTATCGACATTTTCTCTCGTTCCCGCCGCGAAGATCACGCGCGGCCGTGTCGCAGAAATCGCGAGGAAGATCGCGTTCGAAAAGTTCGCGCTACGCGCCATTTGTTTCCGCGCGAGCCTAACCTCTCCTAACGAGCGAGCCGTCGACGAATCGAATGGCCGCTCGTCCGTTCAGCGCATCTCTCTCTCTGTCCAACATCAGCCGTCGGCCCATAGGCTATCTCTCTCGCTGGTGCCGAGCGGTCGCGCGAGTCGCCGAACAAGGCCGAGCGTGACTCTCTAGTTTCCGGCGCTTCCGCGAAGGATTCATAATGGCGCGCGAGAGAAAATCACGATACAACTGCACGTAGAGAATCGATCGTCCGACGAGCCCGAGTCTTCGCATTCGTCCACGGCTTTCCCGCGGACGACGCGCTTCGTCGTCAGTCCTACTGCCGCGTGTGCTTCGCATCTTCGTCGTTCCTCTCGCAGCCTCTGTCCTCACGCGACGCAGCACGGCCGCCATGCAGGCGCAACAGCAGCCGCAGCAGCAGCAGCAGCAGCAGCAGCAACAGCAGCAGCAACACTCGCAGATAGCGGGCACTGGTGTGATACTGAAGATGAACGAGATACAGCAGCTGTCGAATGTCGGTATGTATTAAAAACGGCCGCCTCGCCTTTCGAAACAACCTCGCGAATAGCGAAATGCAGCTCTTCGGCTATCGGGCCGAATTACGCTTAGCTGCACTCGTTCTCGTCATTTTCTCACGACACGCAGAATGTCCGCATTCTCGTCATTCCCTGCGTGGCTTGCATCTTGTTTTGTCGTGTCTCCATCTCTCTCTCTCTCTCTCTCTCTCTCTCTCTCTCTCTCTCTCTCTTTCTCTCTCTCTCTCTCTCTCTCTCTCTCTCTCTCTCTCTCTCTCTCTCTCTCTCTCGCTCGCTCGCTCGCCCCTCGGGCTTACGGGATATATTTGTTTCCTTTAAAGTGCATGTAGTATAGCCGAGTGCAGTTGGAGGGAACAGCTGTATGGAATACTTTCCTCGCTCGCTCGCGTGCGCAGATGGTGCGAGAAAGTGCAGCTAGCAAGGTGCACTTTCGATGCTCAGAGAGGGATATAACGGGTGCACGTTTTGCAGCTTTTTTTATCGGAACGCTGATTGATCGACTGTAAATAAACTCTGTTTATCGAGACTAGAGGGAGAAAGAGAGAAGAAGGGACCGAGGGGGGGGGGAGAGAGAGAGAGAGAGAGAGAGAGAGAGAGAGAGAGAGAGAAAGTCTGCGCCGTCTTCAGTAAATTCGGAAGATTACAGCTTTACGTACGTTGTCCCTCATTCATTCGCAGCGATTCGCTCTCGAGAATGATTTCTGGAATCTTGGCGAATAGATCTATCGTGTACAGATCGTCGTACGATCTATCTCCGTGACTTGGAGTCCCACCGAAAATGCCGAGTCGCGTTACGAGATCAGGCTGTTACTTGTGTAACTAGCTGTAGCGGCGGATTAACGACGGCATCTTCAGCCGCCCGGTCGGATTCGTTTCTATCACGGGCTCGCATTCTCGATACTCACGTCGCTTCATATCGCCTCGTAGATTTTGTGTTCACAGCGAGCGCGCTACACGCGTATGTACGAAAGGGAGCTGCTGGGTAGACGCTTTCGCCTCGGCGTTTCATTTCGACCGGACGCCTCGAATACACATACCGTGTGGCGCAAAAATATTCGTCTTTTTTCCCCCCCCCCTCGGTTTTTCTCATAAACACACCGGTGTCGCGCCATCCGTGTGCACTTTTGCTACCCCTCCTTCAATAGCAGGTATCCCTCCGCTCCCGACCTGATCCCCCTTCCTGCGCCCCGTTCACCACTTCCTCCCTTTTGGTTGAACGCGACAATGGAATATTCCACTGGGTACCTATTCCATCTGCTCTCTGCACCCAGAGGGGAAGCCTCTCCCCTCTCCCTCCTTTCGTCTGCCCCTCTTTATCGTTATAGCTTCTCCCGCTTTGATTCCTCGCGGGGCAGGAGCGTAGGTAGCGATATTGTTGTCGGGAACATGTTGATTCGAGTGTGCAATATTGGGCATTGATCGGCCACGAGATCGCAGTCGATTAAAATGATCGATAGATCAGTGAAGATCTATTAATCAATTGTCGTATGTGATTTAATCGTTTAAATTTTGTGAGAAATTAATTACCAATCAGAATATAGTAAAACTATAATAATCGGTTGAAACAATGATTAATGATTATTCAGACGCAAATTATGTACGATTTATGTTAATTTTGATTATCTTACTCAAGCGAAATTGTTCAACCGACCAATGCCCAACACTGGTATGTCGTTGCTACTCGTGGTTTCTCAAATAAAAAAAAATTGCAATCGGATGCAAATTCATTACCAAGATGCAGCTGTTCATTTTCGCCCGAGACATTTAAACGTTTGAGTTTGCTCGTGAATTGTGAAAATCTGATTCTTCACTTTATGAAACGTTCCTTTTCGCCGTCGAGAGAAAGCTGGATTTCCTAGAAGCGTCCAATTTTACAAGAATTTCGCAGCGCACACTCGTTTGCAGAATTGTTTGAATTTTTCCTCCCGACGCATTTTCGAGACGTAACCGACGTGCCAAAATGAAATGACTCAATTTTTCCATGGAATGTTACCCAAATAGACAAAAAGATATTTTTTAGACTTCTGGAAGATATCTTGCAATGTTTTGAGATATCTTACATTTTTTTCCGAAAAAGATCTTTTAGAGATCTAAATGTTAAAGATATCTTTCAAGACATCTTTTACATATCTGTAGATATCTTTTAGAAATTCTATAAAGATATCTCCAACTAAATCTATTTAGATATCGTTTAGACAACTTCTAGACATCTTTTAGATGTCTACAAGATATCGATGTTTACTGGGTAGTTGCTTTCCAAAATGCGCCGAAAAGAACGTGTTTAAACAGTCATTCACGTGGCATGATACATGTGGTTTTCATTCACTAGTCTGGACATTTTTCTTCTTGCGGTCTGGAACGTAGTCAATAATCTAATCAGTAAGTTTAACTTGCACGAATAAACTAGAAACGAATTCTCTCATTGGATTATCTCGTGCGTTCCAAACTGCCTCGAGGAAAGATATCGAGATCGTACTGAAACCAAATGTACACGAAAACGATAGTCGCGAACATCAAACGCATTCTTCATGTCTTTCATATCCTTCGTATATTTTTTGTCCATGTCTCTTTGACGATGATTTCCAACTTCAGGTATGAAACGTGTATCTTGATGCGTTTCGAACGAAGATTCTAACAAAGAAATTCCTTTTCCGCACGAACTACCATGAATTATCATAAATTAATAATCCCGAATAAAGTCACGACGGGGATGCCTTCAAGAAACACAACGGTTGCTCGACAAAAGTTCCTCGGTAAAAAAAGACAATTTGCTCAGTAAGAATTATGATTGGTGTATACCTTTCGATTTTCCAAAAGCCGATCACTCGACACCTGTTGTGTCCTCTGGGCTCTTATTCTCGAAAATTGGTGAAAAACATTATATACGATATTTCATCAATGTGACAATTTAATTGGCTGAGAATCGTGAGATCTAGTGACATTCGTGAAATATCGTATGCGACATTTTTCAAGAATATAGGCTTTGAACGTAAACAAATTGTCCGACGAGATAAAAACTTACACGGTGCGCGAGGGCGCCCCAGTGCGTACGCTCCTGCGTTTTCCTTCGTTCCCTTCGTCGCCGCCCGTGTCGTCGCGCGACGCGTCAGTCCGCTATAGCGCCGGCCAATCGGCTCGTCCGCGCTTCCTGCTCTCTTCAGAGCAGAGAGGAAGGGCAGAAGGTGATCTAGGCAGAGTATATTCGTAGCGAAGTTCGGAAATGAAACGTAACTAGGCGGACGAGAACTAGATCCGCGTTCATAAACCGAGAGCGACGTTCTTCACGTTGGACCAAGTGCGCGAGAGGAGAGAAAGAACAGAGCGCAGTGTTGGAGCATAGTAGCTGAGACTAGTCCTCGTGTCATATCGTCTTGGAAGCGTCGTGAAGCATCAGGATGAGCGTGCACGTTGCGGAGAAGAAGGGCAACACGCTGAAAGGCACGAACGGGCTGATCGCGGCGATCGAGAACGAGGACGGCGACTGGCAAAATGGACAGAACCTCTTGCTGGTCACGCAAGAGCCCCAGAGCAAGGAGATGATCGGCCTCGCGGACAATCAGACCATCAACGTGGCCATCGACACCTACTGTTCGTACATTATCCCGGATATCATCCCTCCCTCGGTCCGCTCGCCGAATGTCGCGGAATCGGCCGGTCGAGTTCGCGGAGAAAGAGCGAGCGAGAGAAGAGTGAGAGAGAAGGAGGAAGAGGAGGGGGGCAGAGAAAGAGAGAGATGTTTGTTTGGCTTTGTGGTTAATTGCGGATCGATAACGCAATATAATCGGCGCCCGTTCAACGTTTCGCTCGCTCGCGCGAGTCGCACGAGCATGTTTTGCGTCGATGATTCGGCACATGTCGGCTTCCTGCGTGGCTTTTCCCACGTATAAATAATAATGCGATTAACGCGCGACGCGGCCTCTCCGATGGCCATGAGTCAGAGCTCGGCTTGGCCGGCTCGCACGGTTTTCCGGTTTCGTGAGCTTCAGTTTTTCCACCGAGCTCTCTCTCGCCTCGGCGAGTCGCCGCTCGTTCCTCTCGCCGGCCACGACCCCGCGCTCTCGCTTTTCCGCCGATACCGGCGTGCATCGCGACGAGCTCTCTCGCAGCTGTCGCAACACGCTGGCGTGCGTTCACACGCAACGCGCGTACGCACACACACACACACACACACACACACACACACACACACACACACACACACACACACACACACACACGCGCGCGCGCGCGCGCGCGCGCGCGCGAAATGCTTCGCGCATTTCCGTCGCTTTTGTAGGATCGCCGCTGTGAACTTTGCTGTTGTCGTCGCAAAAGCGACGAAAACATTTCCATTATTCATCGGGCGGATGGGTCGCCGTTACTTACGATGCTAAATAAAGCGACCGAACAATATGGGTAGGCGCGCGCGACTGCGAAAATATCTTCGTCCAGCTGGCCGAACTTGAAGTAAACTCGGCTCGTGCGCTGTTAAACACCCATACCGAGACCTCACGCATCGTCTTCTTGCCTTTTATTTCAGGGTTGTTGGAACTCGCGCACAGGGAATACCAGGCGGGAGATTACGAGAACGCCGAGAGACACTGCATGCAGCTATGGCGACAGGAGACAAACAATACCGGCGTTCTGCTGCTGTTGTCATCCATACATTTTCAGTGTCGTAGGCTGGATAAGTGAGTATAGTCGTCGTCCTTCGACGTACTAATTCCGATTTAATCCTCGCCGATACGTTATGAATTGGGATAAACTCGGATATGATGACCATAGGCTGCAATTTCTCCGATAATTGCTGAATAGTTCAGCATCTTTATAATCATTCCCAAAGACACTTCATATTTACAATAGTTTATGTGCATACACTATTCGAAGTAATATTATTGCAAATATTATGTCGCGTTTTTACTTTCAATTGCAACTGCAAAATCTTACATATGTGTATTTACCAAATTGCTGCAATGTCGAATAAATTACAGTTAAGCTGTGATCAACGTTAGACATAACGAAGCTATGTCAATTATAATGCATAATAAATTATAGAATTATAGCATAATAAATTATAGAATGATAAATATCATGGCCGTCTTTCCCTCACAGTTTGGTGGCCCACTTTTTTTTTTTTTCCAGGGTAAGTTTGCCAACTCAATCGATGAAATATATTAGCATCAATACTGCTAATTATAGATAGCGTCATTGATTCTTACTACGTGTATATTATAAAATATTAATATAATTACGAAATGAATATGTGAAATTATAAGTTTTTTTTTTGTTACTTTACAAAATGTTAGGTACATATTTAACATAAAATATAATCAACTGACCCATAATGCTATGGAACGGCTGTCTTTTCCTAAAGAGCCAGATAAGATTTAATATTTGAATAATGTAAAATTTCTATGAAGTATTTTCTCTTTATTTTCTCTTTAGCTTCGATAGAGTATTGCATATTTCAGACTTCAGTAAAGTAATACACCAAGTGCTGTTAAAAATAATGACAAAAATAAAGTATGTTTTCTGTATCCTGAAAAAAACTATGACTATCTTGTCCGAGTTCCTCCAATGAAAATCAACCAACCAGTAACGTTGTATCGGTATTATATTTCCTATCTGGCAATTTATAAGTATAATATAGCGACTGCAAGTGTAATGTAACATTGCGTATAACAATTACGTTGTAGAGCATGAAATTCTAATACGTGATGTTACTGTTAGCTTTAACTGCGCCTGCGCGACACGAAATAAAAACACAGCCCTCTGCATTTCAGATCGGCGCATTACAGCAGCCTAGCAATCAAGCAGAATCCACTGTTGGCGGAGGCGTACAGCAATTTAGGCAATGTGTACAAAGAGCGTGGTCAACTGCCAGAAGCGTTGGAGAACTATCGTCATGCCGTTCGGCTGAAACCTGATTTCATCGACGGCTACATCAACTTGGCCGCGGCGCTTGTGGCAGCTGGTGATATGGAGCAGGCCGTTCAAGCATATGTTACAGCACTGCAGTACAACCCCGTGAGAAAATCGACATTACGCCCCTATTACGAATTTTCCAGTAATTCACGCGTAGCGAAACGCGAGGAAGAAGAAGAAGAAGCAATGGCCTCCGAAGGCTCGTCTTTTCTTTGAGTCGCGCGGGACTTAATGGTCTGTCGCTTCTGTAAAATTCGATTCGCTTCAAGTTGCACTCTTTGCCGTGTAATGAAATGATCTTCGCTTCTCTCTCGTTCGATTTTCCCTCCTTGACTTCTCTCTTCTTGTCGGGTCGCCGGATCCATCGGAAGAGATGTCGAGTTTCATTAATCTTTTCTTAACAAGCGGGATAAACCATGCGAGAATAATTGACATATTTCGCCTGTTCCAGGACCTTTATTGCGTGCGGAGCGATCTTGGTAATCTTTTGAAAGCATTAGCAAGACTTGACGAAGCCAAGGTACGTTTTAGAACTGTCGCCATTAGTTGGTAAACTAATCTGACGCGTCACGCACATGGCCGCGAGCATCTTTACCCCGGTCAAGCTACAGACGGCGGAACATTTGAAGAAGAATTAGCGTAAGCCTATACTCCTTGAACTAGGACTTCGTTACGGGCGTCTTAATCCTTTAAAATCCGATTCACCTACTCATTCCCTCTACCTAAGCCTTGAGAAGACAGCCTTGCCTCTCCTGAATCTCGTAAACAACAGAGATTGATCGATTCCCCGGACGCAGCGCCTAGATCAAGGAGAACAGAGGAACCGATGATACATCATGTTACTCTCGTGACCAAGAGACATTCCGCCGCCCTCGAGTCTCCGTTGACGTCTTGACGGGGTACAAATGCGTCGCGCGTATGTGCACGAGCTACAGCACGCAGTTCTTCGTGGAATGAGCGGGCTGAGCGGAATACGTTCGCGTCGTTGCGACGAGAAGCTTTCACTCCTTGTCGAGCAATTTGCAAGCGCGGCGCGCGACTATCCGTCGTCGAGGTCAGCCCTCCCCCCGTATGTTCCGAATCTCCCTTATTCGATAGCCATCCTCCTATGGAATAAGCGAGCTCAATAGAGAGTGACAATGAGAGAGAGAGAGATAGATAGATAGATAGAGACGCATGAAAAAGCGCAATCGCGCGCGTGCTCTCGACGGCGGATTGAGGATCGCGCGCGTCCCTCCATCCTGTGAAACCGGATGCATACCGCGCTTCACGTCACCGGCAGAATTCCACAATCCGCCGGAAGCAACGTGAAGCGACGGTTTTAACCCTAAACAATATAAACCGTGCCTGACAGGGACAGATTTCCATTCACGAGAAGCTCGCAAGAGTCTGCGACTCCTTTCTTCCGTTTGGAGAATCGCGACGATCGCGATCGGATCTTCCGAAGTGGCGATCCGACTTTTCAGTCGCGTGGCGATTGCAAATTTAGAGCTGAGAACCGTACGAGAAAAAGAATACTTTATAATGTTTAGGGTTACTGTCGAAGTAGAGCCGAGGAGAGCATTCTTTCTGGCACTGCGCGTTTTGCAGTAACACCGAGATCGATGATCGTGATACGGATCTCTTTTTGCCAAAGACACATGGTGTTGCCGCAAATCCTAGGTTGCTTGCCGGTCCCATCCGTACGTGCGCGTGCGCGCGTGTATGTGTTGCGCGTGCGAGAATTTCGATCGATTTCACGCCGAGAAGTCGATGGGCCCGGCAGCGCGCGAATTTTGTAGCGAATGAGCTGATCCTGTCTCTTGTTTGAGGGTGTACGACTCGCTGTGGTCACATTGCGCACGTGCACCGCCACGTGCGCGTTTCTTTCAGCAGTTTCATGTTGTCATGATTGAATAAGAGAGGGAGAGAATCTATGGTGTGTATGGTAACATCGGCGCGAGATCACTTGACCGAGGCTGTCTCTCTTGAAATGTAACGACGCGAGAGTTGTCACACGCGATGTAAAGCAACGCGACGGTATTTCGTCGACGGTGAGACTGCATCTTCAACCTTCCCGACGCGAGATCTCAAGTTGGGAGTCTAGAAGAATACGGTAAATGCATCGAGACACGCATGAGCGATAATTGTCGCTGTTTCTCCGGGTAACATTTAACAGCAGCGAGAAATTCGCGGCGAGTCTCGCGAGTCGAATCGACGACTGAAACTCGAGCTTGATCGGTCAAGTGGTCTACTTCAGCAGCGCGGCGCGGCGACGACCGATGAGGGCGCGCCTGTAAGAGCTACGTATCCTTCCCGTTACACTCGCAGCACTTTGCGTTGAACGCACCTTGCGTCGTGTCGCGTCGCGTCGATTGACGAAGCGCGGTTTATAGATGCGCCCTCACGCGGTCCTGAAAGTCACAGCAACGAGGAAAGCTTCCCGTTACATTTCCCGCTATTCCCGAGAACTGGCTGGTACGCTCGTCCGTTTCCCGCCGAGCTCGGTCAGCCATCTACTCTCATTAACTACGCGATAGTTTTCACTCCTGTGCGCGCGACACGGTATCATGATTACATCGACGTACGTTCAGAGAAAAAGAGAGAACGAAAGAGAGAGAGAGAGAGAGAGAGAGAGAGAGAGAGAAATAGATAGATAGATAGATTGATGGATAAAAATTCGCTTCAATCGTGAGAAGGATCCTTCCCGAGGCGTCGGCCGCAGTCAACGACAGTTAGAGCAACAACAACAACAACAACAGCAGGAGCAGCTGGCTGACGAGCTCGGCGGAGCGCGTGTCGCTTCACTGACACGCGACTTTTCCAATTCTTTGTGTCTACACACACACGTATACAGAAAGAAAGTAAAGAAAAAAGAAAAGAAATTTGCAAAAAAGAAAAGATAAAAGACAATGAGAGAGAATGAGAGAGAATGAGAGAGAGAGAAAGAGAGAGAGAGAGAGAGATTGAGGCGAGGAGTATCAGTTGAAGAGACATTAACGCAGCTGTCTTGTTGTTGTGGATGGGATGATCAACTCTAGGAGGGGAAGTGCAGGAGCAATGTGAGATTGGTCGGTTACCGCGCCGGTTCCTTCGTCAAAGGGTGAATCTGAATCTGGTTATTCAGTAACACACTGTCTCTCGGTCTAAGTTTATTATGAGAGCTTGCAAGCCGTACCTACCGAGTCTCAGCCTACCGAAGGGTACACTGCAGGTAAAGTAATTCCCAAGGTCGGTCTCTAACGACTTCCAACCAGTCCCGCTCCCTCCCGAGGCTCTCGACCCTGTGAAAAGGGCAGAGTCTTACCTTTTGTATCCCATGGCCATTCTAGGTGTAGCGAAGCGAATTTACGAGAGCGAGAGAGAGAGAGAGAGAGAGAGAAAGAGAGGACGGCGGACGATGCGTTGAGAGAAAATGCGAACTCCTAACTCGGAAAGAGAAACCGTTTCTATTGTCGCGGCTAGCCGGACTTTTGAGCGGGAAGATTCAAGGACACTCGGGTCTCGGGTTACTCGGTCGCCCCTCACGTTCATGTTGCTTTGTATTTCACGGTCGCGAGAGACGACGGTCAAATCGTCCAGAGTGCAAATTGTCGCGCTGGTTCATCAGCGTCGATGTCTCGTCAACCGAGCAATTTTCCGTGTCTGCTTCGGCGAAGAGGTCAGTCTCGCGGGAAGATCTGACGCGGCGCATCGAGTCGTCTAACCGTCAGAGAAAGAGAAAGAGAGAGAGAAAGAGATCGGTCGGTCGGGAACACGAGAGGGAGCCGCACACGTCGCTCGCGTCGAGTTCGCCCCATAGTCCTCCGCTTTTTCTTCCCTCCATTCCAGGTACCGCACCCCGCAGAGACCGGCCGACTGTAAATGCCCTCTTACTTATTGTTTAGGTACGGATTACTCTGTTCAATATAATGCAGCCCGCCTCTCGGCACGCGCGATGAGTATCCACGCTGAATCCTTAGAGTCGTCATCCCGTGTCGTCGCCGGTTGTCAGGCTCTTAGAGATCCTAGACGTCGCTCTCGCAGAGCGTTCAGCAGCAGCGCGGTAGTTCCGCGTCTCGAGCGTGAGTTCAGAAGGAGTACACCCTGAACATCGCGATCGCTGGCGTGCGACCTTCGGCGGGCGGTCGAGCCCGCCGGACGCATTCCGGGGGTTCTGGCCGTGCGCCGGAAGTCGCGCGCGTATTCCTAAGATGACGCCTCTAGCGCGCACCCCAACACCCTTCATCCCGGACTGCCCCACGCTCCCGCCCCGAGAACGCATTGTTCAGCTGACTCGCGAGGCGACCCTCGCTCGCTCTGTTTCCACTCCTTGCCCTCTTCTTGCCTTCGGCCAGCACTCGAAGAAGACGTTGGGAGCAGTAGGAAGGAGTCAAGAAGTCGAGAGCGGATCCCTCGCGGGATGTGTTTACCTCGAAACGCATGCAGAGAGACGCGTCGCGGAGGAAGTATCCTTCCCTCTCGCGTCACGCGGAACCAGATCGTCTCCACGCTCGTGGATCTTCCCTTTCGGTCACTCATTCATCAACAGCTTTCCCTCCAGCGAGCTTCGGTTCTTCGTGATACTTGTCGACTGAGATCTCACTGAAATCGTTTACCCTTCAATTATTCCAGCTACTGTCTCTTTACTTTCGCAGACGCTTCAACTGTACACGATATCTACACTCTTGTGTGACGTCACTCTGAAAACTATCATACATTTACATTGTGCATTACATAAAATTCACCGACATACAGATACCTCGATATTTCCACAAAATTCCCGACGATCTGATACTCGAGCCTCAGGAACCGAGGGAAGGAAGCACCGCGAGAGGTCGCCAGGAAGACCAATCGGGACTTGGGCGGCTACTACACGAGAAGACGACGAGTCACCGAGTTCGAAGACGACGAAAGCGGCGAGGGTGGGAAGACGTGCGAGGAAAGGAAACAGAAAGGGTACAGGGTGGCACAACCCGTTCTTTGTTTTCGTCGAGCTTAACGACGAGAAGGTGAAGCGCGAGATTGTCAGAAAAAGACGAAAGAACGGGGGAGTGCGTGTGAATGTGAGAGAGCGAGAGTGTGAGAAGCTGCGGCGCGGCGATGGGAGGTCGGGCATAGCGCGCGGCGCGCGACCCTTCGAGTTCGCGAATGAAGCCGCTGTAAATTGCATTCTGTTTCTCTAGGCGTGCTACTTGAAGGCGATCGAGACGCGACCGGACTTCGCGGTCGCCTGGAGCAACCTCGGATGCGTGTTCAACGCTCAGGGCGAGATATGGCTGGCGATACACCACTTCGAGAAAGCGGTTGCGTTGGATCCGAATTTTCTCGACGCCTACATCAACCTTGGCAATGTGCTGAAGGAAGCTCGTATCTTCGACAGGTTGGTTCTCACCCTTTTTCCGTTGATTATTAGAAGTGAGACGCATCAGGTGCGTTTACGACATTCAATGTTTGTACGGCTGTTGAGTGGTTTTGTCCTGAACGTTATATGTTGAGTGAGCAGTCGCCATTTTTCTCATCATAAATATTCGTCGCTACTTTTACTGGTCAGTCTCCGATTCAACATGGCGCAGTCCATGAATGAAGAAAATAGTCATATAAATTTAATCATATATATAGTGGGAAATATGTCAAGGATGGTGTAGAATACATTGCAACAGACACATATGAATTATATTTATAAAAATATTTAATAACTACGAGACACACAAGTGTGTGGACGGGCCGTGTAATATTCAATACATTTATCTGACACTTTTTTTCTGCGCAACAAAATCGTGCAAAACTGAAGTTGCGTTCATTGTACATCTCTACTGCTCACTAACCCGCTCACTCATCGGATGCTCAACTGTTGAGTTTCATGAATGCACCTATTTTTTTCTTACGTCGGTCAGATGACAAAACTCATCGAACGATAAGTTTTGATCCATTCGCATCTTTGTCAATTTCACATTGATATCAAATGAGAGACTAGTGAAAAACATGAAAATACAAAAATATATAGATAAGAGTTAAAGTTGCAATGAATACTTGCAATTTTCGCTCTTATTGTCGTCACATATTCTTGTATTTTGACTTGTAATCTTAAAACTCGTAATGATTCATCTTAAAAACACATTTTTAAAGTAATGAACTTGACTAGATGCACCAGTGCCTACTAAACCGCTATTCGTTCTCAAGTTTATTTTCGGATATTATGGAGATCGTTTCATTGGCTGCGAAGTATCTGAAGACAGACGTAAAAGATAATCTTAAATATAAAAGCAGACTATATAATACTGGCCTTAGTGTGCACTGTTGTATCTCAATCTACTTCATGATAAAAATCTGCGATCAAAAAGGTATTCTCGTATCTTTCAATAGATGTGAATGCAAAATGAGCGGATACGTCCGCTTTCGAAACTTTATTCTCGTACTCCATATATAAGGAATTTGGAATTAAAAGGACATTCATTTTCGCATATGCATCCAGAATAAGAATTGATTCCAATGGGTTAATAGCATGAGACGATGTAAATTAAGCTCTTGACTGACAAATTGAATTTCACAGAAATGCTTAAGCTGGCAAAAGTGAATTTCCAAAAGTTAAGCAATGTCATTCAGATTTTGTGTCTAGGGATTTCTGCTGAGACCAATATTTACGAATATGAAGTCGAGATTTTTCAAATTCAAAGTGGTGCACCCAACGTTACGACGAAAGAATCACAATTTTATTTTATCAAAATAAAACTAGACATCTGTTACGAAAAAAAGTTAATTAAAAAAGTGAAAATATGTAACATTTTTATCTGAAATCTATAAAGTAAAAAATAATAAATAGAAATATGATTTATAACAATTATTTATGTAACATGTAGATAACACTTCTTTTTGATCGTCTATATTAATTTGAAGACTTGCCATTTCGAATTTATATTTTTAAAATTTGTCAGTGAAAAGAGCGACTTAAAAAAAACATTTCAAAGTTCTTGTTAAACTTTTGTAAAACATTTGTTTCAATTTTAGGTCAGTTATGTTACATTCATTTTGAATGTTGAAATTCATTATTGAATAAAGCGTTTCCGAAAAATTTGAATATTCAATCTCAGAAATATTGAATTAGTAATATCAAAACGCAATATTGCATTTTTGCCAGTCAAGAGGTTAAAGTTCTTGGCTGCTTCTCAGAAGCGAGAAGATACGACGAAATAATAAGATAAGTCGATAAAACGACACTTGCGATCAATCGAACAAACTTCTAAAATAGTCCGGACATTATCATTTCTTTTTTATTCTAACAATCGACAAATTATTGTAGAATTAAGGTAACACGCAATTCACACCTTAATCTATCTTTTCCCATGATTTTGATTTTGATTTTGATTCCCATGATGAATCAGGTTAATTTTACAGTTATTTACTGTCCGAGAAGAAAAGTGTCTAGACTGTTTTGCAGATTCGCTCGATCGATTACAAGTGTCAGTTTGTAACCATTATTTTTTATTTATGTGTTTTGGCCTTGCATTTCCTCGCTTCGTGCGTATCATAAATCAAGATGGCCGTGGCGAATAGCCAGGAGCCTAAATTCCTGAGATTTTAACCGCAGGATCTCGAGGTTCTCATCCATATTGTAATTCGCGGTCCTTTCGCCGCGTTTATGTGCTCTCGCTGGCTTCGAGGAGTCACACGTGGCGGCTTGGCGAAGATCAAACGAGCGAGAGCCGCGACGCGAGGGAGAAAATGCTCCGCGTCTCGAGTTCGAATCCCGCTACTTCCAAATTCGGCTGTTTTTATTCGCGAGACTACTACTCCTTTCGTATGACGTAACCACACACACGGGACTCTCCGAACGGTTTGACGATTTTTACGTAAGACAACGCGGAATCGATTAACACGCACAGTTTGATCGACCGGCGGCTTGGAGAACCATCTCACTGCCGTCGGTCTTAAAGTCTGTGCGAAATAAAAAAAAGTGACCTTATAGTTATTCGCCGATGCATCGCACAGTGAATCATCGGTGGCAGTCAAGGGTCGCACAGAGTTCCTTTTCTCGCCATTTTGCTTCGCGACATCGCTTCCCGCTTCGCCGGACGCTCCGACAGCAGCGCAGGATGCGGTAACGCGCCTGAGATCCCGGTAATATCGACAGGAAGGACTCCGTTTCGCGAAGCACGCTGCGCGAATTTTCCGATCAGACGAGAGTCGGAGGGCGAAATCTCGTGCGGGTGCGCTGAGGACCTCTCCGCATTCGTCATGCACCACCCGGGCACAGCGCATGAGCTGTGTGCCGAGCGAGCGGCGAGGATCGATATTCATGTAACGTCCTTTTCAAGTTCATCGTCCTCCGCATCTGGACGAGAATTCGGACAATGCACCGTTCGTTCGCAATTCACGTTGGATGCGCAATTTTTCGTCAACCTAACCGACCGGCGAGACGACGCGTCGTTTGCACGTTAATAACCGGCCGTTTCTTCGCCCTTCCTCTGCTTTGTAACGATAATTTCCGTCGATGTATCTGCGTCCTTTTTTGTACCCTCGGCAGCGGCGTTTCTATTCTCGTCGTCGTCTTCTACACCTTGACGGATCCATACATACATTTACATGTAGTTAACTCCCGGCACGTTCTCGACTCCCGTCCCCGCCGTCGCCGCGCTCGTCTCGTGGCTCCTCGGGGCCTCCAAGGACTGCGGCTTGTGAAATCCGCTCCCACGCGACGTAATACGTTCATCTCCGCGGTTGTCCTCCAGCTCTCGACTACAATGTGGCGCCGGTCGGTCTCTATCGATCCCCCGCCAAGATTCCTCTCAATGGCCGTCGGAGAAATAAAAGAAATCATCGCGTCTTCCGCAATACCACCTCCGCCCATGCGATCCACGTTGCCGAGTGCCGCTTATGTGCCCTTCCCTGCCCCAGTCTTCTGGATATTAACTCTCGGTCGATGGTGTTAAAATATTTCAATGCCACGAGCTTGATCAAGATAGATAATCGTGCTAATAAAATTAATTAAAAGATCCAACGTCGCGCTTTACTTTGGCCCTCGACTTCTTTTTAGATATTTTTTCATCTCTTTGTGATGGCACACAAACACACACATATAGTGTATAAATATATATGTACAGGGTGTGTCCAAAGATAAGGTCAACCAACTAGGAGTTTCAATAGTACTATGTACTATGAATAAACTTTTATTTGTATTTGCTATGATTTAGCAAATATACAGCGCTTTTTGTACAGAGAACGTTGAAACTTCATAATATTTCGAAAAATACACCTTTCCGAAAAAAATGTCCCATACAAAAGTTGTGAGATTTTAAGTGACGCATTAATTAGTAAAATTAGTATGATTGTTGAATAGCGTTGTCAAGGTAATAGCGTAAAGATCACATAATCTCGAAAGCGCAATCTAAGGTCATGCTACTTTTATCACTTAAATCATTTAAAATCCTACAACTTTTGTACGAAACATTTTTTTCGGAAATACATATTTTTCGAAATATTAAGAGGTTTCAACATCCTCTATGCGTCAATATAAAACACTATATTTATTAAACCATAGAAAATACACAAAAAGTTTATACAGGATGTTTAAAAAAGGTTCAAGGCTTTAAGAGCAGATAATACAAAATGGAAGAAAAAGATCCTAATAAACATGAGTCTAAAAATATTGTCGGAGTTGCGAACAATTATTTATTTTAATTAAAGCAAATGACTTACTCGCTTCTGATGCTTTTGCACTCTCTGATGTAATTCGTCTATGTTATTTATCGGTGAAGAGAGAACTGTACACATATGCTCTGAAAAAAGTTTCTTCGCTCTTGCTCAGAATGCAAACGAATATCTATTTTTTCCCGTTTATACATAAGCTTCACCAGGTTGTTAGTCACATATCCTCGTGAACAATGAACAGTCGCAGAGAACTATCGTAAAGTTCTCACAATACGGTAGGAATGACGTCTAATCAAAAAATGGCAGAAACGTATCTTTTTCACATATGGCCGTGCAACAAAAATGAATAAGTCACTTGCTTTAATTAAAATAAATAATTATTCATAATTCCGACAATTTAATTTTTCTTATTTTATTTTCTTATTTATTTTATTATTCTTATTTTCTTAATTAATGTTTATTAGGACCCTTCTTCCTTCACTCTGCGAGTACTATTTGCCTCTAAAGTCCTGGACACTTTTTCCAAATTCCCTGTATACATTATACATTCTGCTCAAGCTCCTCTTTCACCTCCCAGTTGCTTGATCTAATCTTCTGACACACCCTGTACATGCATAGATTATGGAAATGGCTCGGGCCGAAAACAAAAGCGCTCTCGTAAAAAGCGCGCCGGCGAATTCGACTCGCGGCGATAATGGATCGCGCGGAGCGCGTTTTCCTCCGGCGGCGGGTATTCTCTCACGCACAAAGTGGGAGGAATTCGAGGACAACTATCGATTCCAGAAGCCGCTCCGCCCCCACGGAGGGAGCCCTTTTCGCTCCCTCCCTCCCCCCCCTCCCCCTTGTGTGTGTGGGAGGATACGCGTGCTCGTTGACGGCTGTCGCGAAAAAGCCCGCTCGCGAGTTAAGCGGCTTTTCTCCTGCCGCCGACGTCGCGTGACGTTCCCTGGAGGCAGCCGACGTTCTCGCGGCTAGCCGTTGCTGGAGGAGTCGCCGTGCCGTGCTTGTGTAATTCCTCGGCTTCCTCCACTCCGCTGCCGCTGACCGACGCGCCTCTGCTAGTGCGGCCGTCCGATAATGAAGTGGATCCTCGGGTCCACGTGGGCCCCGAGGATCATCATCGCGGCGTAGCGTAGCCGTGGACGAAGGGAGCCGTGGCTTGTGCGCTTGTGCGACGCTCTTCCTATCTCTCGCCGCGATTCCCGCATTATCCGCGCATCCTTGGACCCGTGCAGGCCTCGCTTCAGCGTGCGCGCACGCCAAAAGGAGATACGCTCGGTGGATCCACGGAAGGAGGGTCTCGCGCGAGATCCTCGTGCGCGTCTTCGCGTCTTCGTCGCCCGTCTCCGACTTCGTGCGTCCGGCATGCATCGGCCGGGATTGTGATCGGACGGAGGAACACCTGGACGGAGGAGCGTGTACTGTTGATTTAGGCGAGCTGCTGGTGTAACAATTCGCGGTGAGGCCAAAGCGGTACTCGCTCCGCTGGTGTCCACACTTTGCAGCTCGACAACTCGCAGTAAAACCACGTTTGTTGGTAGACCCCTCGAAAGACACAGTTCAATTGGCCATGAACGTCACGGTCGCAGCGCGAGCTGCTGGTACCCAGCCGAATACATCCGAGGGAGTTCGAGTATCGTAACTCATCCTTTAGCGCCAGTCAGACCTCGCTCTATCCAGGTATTCTTACGTCGACACGATGAGAGCAAAGAACGAAGTCGCTATTCTTCTAGGCACGCCGTTGCCGCAAAGAAATCCGTGGATCCCCGACGCTTAGCGCTTCCTTCAGGACGTGCTTCGCTGTTTGCCCGCGCGGTGTATCTTGCATGAATACGCGCTTCCGAGTTGTCCTCTCCGCGAGACTCCTCGGCTACCGGGATCCCCGCGTCCCAGTCCCCGAGGACTCGCCCATCCGAACGAGTCGCCGCGTTGTCAAGGACTTGACTTCACTCCACGCACTCGGACCCGTGCACTTCGGCATCCGCGGATCCAATCCAGCCGGGATGGGGAAGGAATGGACTGCCAGTGCGTGGTCGTCTATACGGTGATCTCGCCCTCGACCACTATCGCGCCCGCGCTTCGCGTTCAGATCGAGGATACTCTCTCGCGACCCAGCACCCCTGGATGCGTCTCCTGGATCAGGCACTACGTTAAAAGGTTCATCAGATTCTGCCCTGTGTGCCCTCGACTGTTTTACTAACGGCTTAGTCCTTATATCATTATTACCCAGTCGCCGTGGCGATTGGGATGTTGCGGGTGTAGCCTCCGCGGATGCGGAAGGACAATGTTTACTTGGTTATCGATGCCTGATTCCTTCGCGCGGCTGGGAGTCTGTCTCTAGCGGGAGTCAAGGATCGGACGTTGATAATCATGCCCGAACTATCGACTGTTACAGAGCTGTAGCGGCTTACCTGCGTGCATTGAACCTCAGCCCCAACAATGCGGTCGTCCATGGAAATTTGGCGTGCGTTTACTACGAGCAAGGGTGAGTGAATCATTCTGTGTCTAGTGTTCACGGGTGGGGATGGGTTTGGGTACAAACTCTCGAGATGCGACGGTGACCGGGATTGTCACCGGCAACTTTGACGTATCATTTAATCTTGGCATATCTTCAGGGTGTTTGGAAACAGGGGGTTTAGGACTTTGAAGGCTTTGAAGGATAGTGCTCACAAAATAGAGGAAAAAGGTTCCAGAAAGAAAACATGGGTGGAAAAATTAATGTTATTGGAGTTATGAATAATTATTTATTTTAATTAAAGCAAACGATCTACTCGCTTCTGGTGCTTACAAAGTTTACAGAACATTTTCTGCGTGTTCTCCTATTTCTATGCATATTTTATCGGAAGACTCCACTATGCTCTTAAGAAGTCCCCATAAAAAAAAATTCCAGATTTAAATCAGGAAAGTGAGGGAGCCATAAAAGACCGTCCAATTCATCTCTCACCAAAAGACCATAAATGGCAGACGAATTACATCAGAATACAAAATGCCTGTCATATAGTTAGAACAAAACCGGAAATTTTTGAAAGTTCGCAATTCTATAATATGTAGAGATAGAAGGACATGTAGAAAATATTTTTTAAATTTTGTAAACAGTAGAAGCGAGTAAATCACTTGCTTTAATTAAAATAAATAATTGTTCATAACTCTGGGCAAGATTTAGTTGTCGACTCATGTTTGTTAGGATCTTTTTCCTCTGTTTTGTGAGTCTGCCAGACTGCCTTAAAAATTCTGCATCTTTTTTTTTAGACACCCTGTATATCAGGTGCTCGCAAAAGTTCGTAAAATTGCGAATAAGTGGAAGTTATTGCGAGTTGACGATTTTGTCTTTTTACGAAGTTTTATAAATTTAAGAAGGTGCTCACTCGCGACTTTGAAATTTATCTACGGCATTTTAAGTAACAACGTAACCTCATTTTAGATAAAAATGGAACCCGATAAAGTGCATCTACGCCATTGTACGTTTTTTTGTTTTAACAAAAAGAAGACTGCTGCGAAAACAAAACGCTTACTCGCTAGCCCCATCTGATTTATTCAGATCAATGCACAACACGGCTTATCCGGTGCACGATTTGCTAATGCTGAGGAAGTCCGAAAATGGAAGGAGGGGTCGATAATTTCATTGCGTCAAAAGATGTATCGGTCTTTAGAAATAGAATTAGACAACTGCATGAGATGTTGCGGAGATTTTGATGAAGATAAATATGTATAGTTTCCTTTATTGTTAATTAAATAAATATATTTAAAAGTCTCACAAATTTTTGCAAGCATCTGCAATATAATTAATATGTGGTGTATAATTAAGCAATATAATTAATATGTGGTTAATATTATTGTATAAACATTATTTAAAAAAAGTTGATCCTCTATAGGAAATTTTTTAAACCTCACGTAGCGAGCGCGTTAAAAACATCGGGGAAATTAATTATTATAAATATTTGACCTTTGCATAATATCTAATAAATTATTAATAATATTTAATGATTTACGGACTTGCGCGTTAAATGGATGTTGCACAGACTGACCTGTCGTTCAGTCATAATAGTTGAGAATGAAAAATGTCCACCTTGTTGAGACGTATTGCGTGAAACAAAAATCCACAAAATTGCAAGAATGTTATCTGATTCATTACTGAGGTGATTCTGTGTATAAAAATTAAAGAAGCATTTTTCTCAATCAGGAAAAGTAAACAAAAGTCAACTCATTTAATAATAATGAGATATTTAAAAAAAAATTTTGCAGCATAGAGTCTCTCTAATTTTCGAAAATGGTTTGTGGACGTTGCGTATACAATTAACAGGTCGAATAGCCGGGCTCGTTAAAAATTCACTAACAGATTGAGCGCGCCATCTTGGATGGCACGATGAAACCCGTTGGGCGTACTCAAGGACGTTGAAACTCAAGGACGGAACAAATTTCAACAAGTCATAGAAAATCTTGCTACTTTTATGAATGCATTTAATGTTATTATCGTTCAATAAGCTTTTAGTGAACAACCATTCGTGAATACTCAATGAACGTGTTGTTTATATATTAAATATAGACTCGCAGTTTCTAATGCTGTGTGACATTTAATGTCCAGAAATTATTACGAAAATAATATATTTATTTATCGTTATCCTCTTGAAGCAAATAACTTACAAACATTTTTTTTAATGTTGTAACTTTTATATATATAGTTGTCTTGAGTTTATCTTAAAGTCCTGTAGAAGTATTTAAAAATGAACTTGAGATAATCTTAAATACGTAAAGATTTGTTTTTGAACGCTGGCCTAAGATAAACAGTTGACTTATTGATCTTTGAAGAATATCAAAGATGGTTTATTTATAGGAGCAAAGTAGGATGAAATTGATAACAAATAGTTCTATCGCGTGAATCACGATTTTCTGCATACGATACACCTATTTTGCAAGTAACTAGATGTAGAATTTGCAATAAAATTATTTAAAAATACCGGTCCTCTGCCGGTATTTCTGATACTCTGAAAGCACCGATGTCGCACTTTCTGATTCTTCACGCTATCACAACGTAACCTCGCGAACAAATTTTCACTTTGTACAATTCCATGCATATGAGCGTGAGAAAATATTTCTTTATTATTGTATTTTCGTATAATATTAAATAAAACTGTACTTAAGTAATTACAATATTCGAATGAGATATATGTATAATAAACACGAGGACAGATCTTAACGCGTAGCAACTTCAACTGGTCGATAAATAAGACATACACAGCCGCGAATGTATGACCCAATAATTGATCAAATTTAATCGGAAAATCCACTTTGGAAGAAAAGTTTTCGTGTCAGAACAAATACTTAGCTTTTTTTTTAACTTAATCGAATTAGGACTTTTATAGTATTCTACATTAATATGTTTGTAAGAGTCTGTAAATACAACATGACTCGCGCTAGATTAGTTATACAAAAAAAAAAGAAAAACGGAAAAAGCACCTCCAAAGCGCGGCTCTCTGTTTCAGTCGGGAGACTTGGTGATAGTTATTTATTCATTCAAAATGTCTTCTTTGCAACTGACTTGAGCAACTTATCTTGAGAGGCTTAACGAACGTTTGCGTTCAGTGTACCAGTCCAAGATATTCATTGAGCATTCAATGAGCGGTTCTACTAAATGCATGCAATGTATTACGACTGAACTGATGGGTAGAATTTTCAAACAGTACAATTGAAAGGTTCGAGAACCTTTTCACTTTCACCTACTCATGCGGCTCATTAATAGATCCGATAGTCTCTCGTCTTCAAATAAAACAGTTCATCGATTTACCTTTGATATCGAATATTTTATTATTCATTAGTACGACTAAAGAAAGAATCTGATAAGATCTCATCTCTTATTTAATGAATGAAGTTTCTTCGATAAAAATGAAAGTTCCTTTGCTCTGTAGGAACTCGTTAAACTGAAAGATAATTGAGACTGCAAACAGAATTGGAATATCAATCCCAATTCATTCTATTTACATTTACATCATTCGTCTTTGATGTTGCAGGCTTATCGATTTGGCCATCGACACATATCGGCGCGCTATCGAGTTACAGCCCAACTTCCCAGATGCGTACTGCAATTTGGCGAACGCTCTCAAAGAAAAGGGCCAAGTGGTCGAAGCGGAAGAATGTTACAATACCGCCCTCCGGCTCTGCCCTACACATGCTGATTCTCTCAATAACTTGGTGCGCAATTACACCCTCATGTACTTGATATAGGAAATATTGATCGAGTATCGCGCGAACGATGGGTGAATCGTGTTGCTCTCTTTTTGTTTTAGGCCAACATAAAACGCGAGCAGGGCTTCATCGAGGAGGCAACTCGTTTGTATCTCAAGGCTCTGGAAGTATTTCCGGAATTCGCGGCCGCCCACAGCAACCTCGCCTCCGTTCTGCAGCAACAAGGAAAACTAAATGAGGCACTGATGCATTATAAGGAAGCAATTCGCATACAACCGACTTTCGCCGATGCTTATTCAAATATGGGTAACACGTTGAAGGAAATGCAGGATATCCAGGGTGCTTTGCAATGTTACACGAGGGCGATACAAATCAATCCGGCTTTCGCCGATGCTCATTCCAATTTGGCATCGATCCACAAGGACTCCGGCAACATTCCCGAAGCAATTCAGTCCTATAGAACCGCGCTGAAACTAAAGCCGGACTTCCCGGACGCCTATTGCAATCTAGCGCATTGCCTGCAGATAGTATGCGACTGGACCGACTACGAAGCCAGAATGAAGAAGCTGGTATCCATAGTTGCCGAACAGCTGGACAAGAATAGATTGCCCAGCGTGCATCCGCATCATTCCATGCTCTACCCGCTGTCGCACGAATTCAGGAAGGCAATCGCTGCTAGACACGCGAATCTTTGCATCGAGAAGGTGGGTTCGCACTCATCGAATTCTCAGCGATCATTTAACAAGACGTTTCCCGTGTCAATTAAACGTCTCTAGCAGAAGTAAGAAAGTAAAAAATATCTCCCATTCTTGAAAAGCACGTCGAGATAAAGATACGCGTCGGTAAAGTGACATTACGATCGATTGGGCAGATTTATAAAACTTTTATCTTTTTCCTTCTGATAACAAATAGACGCAGTATTAACGTGACATGCGACTTTTACGACGTAACTGCGCGCTTTGTCATATTAATTTTACAGTTATTTGTCGATTATATCGAAGCAAGGAGAAGGTTTTCAGAACATCTTAAGAATCTGCGCTCGATTGATGTGTTTTTGTTTCAACATATTTTGCAAGAATATAGAGAACATTTTCTGGCTTCTAAGTCGTTCGTTGAGATGGCTGTTGAAGAGGAAACGGGAGTTTTTTTAATTATATCCCGTCTTGTTCGTCAGTTTTCATGTATCTTCGTTGTTATCTTCGTTGTTATCTTCGATCATCATTACTTATACACCAAATATGATTCATTGCAGATTCATGTGCTGCACAAACAACCGTACAAGTATCCACGAGCGGTTGGAATTCGATTGAAGATTGGTTACGTATCGTCCGATTTCGGCAATCACCCGACTAGCCACCTGATGCAATCGATCCCCGGTCTGCATGACCGCGAGAAAGTCGAGATATTCTGCTACGCGCTAAGCAACGACGACGGCACGACCTTCCGCGCGAAGATTGCGCGTGAGGCCGAGCACTTCGTTGACCTGTCGCAAGTTGCTTGCAACGGCAAAGCTGCCGATCGCATCAACGCGGACGGTATCCATATTTTAGTGAACATGAATGGGTACACGAAGGGTGCTAGAAACGAGATATTCGCACTACGACCGGCACCGATACAGGTCATGTGGTTGGGTTATCCTGGCACCTCTGGCGCCACTTTCATGGATTATCTCATCACGGACGAAGTCACCTCGCCGTTGGAGCTCGCCAATCAATACAGTGAGAAGCTCGCCTACATGCCGCACACCTACTTCATTGGGGATCATAAGTACGCGAATTTCTTTTACTAAGATCCTTTTGCCACGTTCAGAAAAAAGACGTTGAGATATAAAAAGATTTATACGGTAGTGATTTGGCGAGAATAATATTTTGCATCCTGCGTAAGAGAGGAGGGATTTTTATCGTACAATTTGCTCGTCTTTTAATCTCGCAATCTTCTATTTTTAGACAAATGTTCCCACATCTGAAGGAGCGCTTGATCCTGACAGATAAGTTGAACCAAAAGGGCAAAGTAGCGGACAATGTGGCAGTGATCAACGCTACCGATCTTTCTCCGATGATCGAGAACACACTGGTGAAGGAAATACGCGAAGTGGTAGTACCGGACGCTAAGAACAAACCCGTCGAAATTTCTTTGAAGGTGGCAGAGTTACCGACTACCACTCCGATCGAGACAATGATTGCTTCGGGCCAATGCCAGATGTCCGTGAACGGTGTCGTTGTGCAAAACGGCATGGCCACCACGCAAGTGAACAACAAAACTGCCACCGGCGAGGAGGTGCCTCAGAATATCGTCATTACGACCAGGCAGCAATATGGTTTGCCCGAGGACGCCGTTGTGTACTGTAACTTCAATCAATTGTACAAAATCGACCCTCTCACGCTTCATATGTGGGCGCATGTAAGTAGCCGATCGAAGGTCACATCAAGAGTCCTTATTTGTGCGAGTCTAAGCCACGAATCAGAATTTTTGATATCGTGGCCTGACCGAGACGACCGACTGAGGAGTAGTCTTGGAACATTGGCTCCCATCGTATCGCACTGTATTTAATATCTCCGACTAATTTGATTTCAGATTCTAAAGCATGTGCCGAACTCCGTGTTATGGTTACTCCGTTTTCCGGCGGTCGGTGAACCCAATCTCCAGGCGACCGCACAACAGTTGGGTCTTGCACCAGGGAGGATTCTCTTCAGCAATGTCGCCGCCAAGGAAGAGCACGTAAGACGAGGCCAGTTGGCTGACGTATGTTTAGACACTCCGCTCTGTAATGGACACACGACGAGTATGGATGTTTTGTGGACTGGGACGCCAGTGGTCACGCTGCCGGGCGAGACTCTGGCTTCTCGCGTCGCCGCTAGTCAATTGAATACGCTTGGTTGTCCGGAATTAGTGGCGCGTACGCGCCAAGAGTATCAAGATATCGCCATCAGGCTCGGCACCGATAGAGAATAGTGAGTACCTCGACATTCCCCTTCCATGCTGAACTCGTTGAATTTATGGATCATGGATAAAAGGATCATCTCGCTCCGGAAGAGCGAATGATAATCAGCAACATGCGTAAAACTTTCTTTCTTCCAGCTTGAAAGCCACTCGAGCTAAGGTTTGGAAGGCTCGATCGGACAGTCCACTGTTCAACTGCAAGTTGTACGCGATGGGTATGGAGATGCTGTACACGAAGATGTGGGAGCGTCACGCGCACGGAGAAAGTCCCGACCACGTGTCGGCTGTCGAGAAGAACGACAGCCAAAAGTCGTCGAGCATGTCCTAAAAGGTTTTACTTTTACGACACGCCTCACGATCATTCTACTCAGCTTCGACTCCTCGATTAACGGTTTCTCTTTCCCGGAGACTTTAGCATTTACACGAGCAACCACGGCTAATATCACATTACTTCCACTCCAAATCTCATATAAATTTTCGTATCTTCGCCGTTCCGACTCCGCTGTTTTTGTACGATAAATTCATGGAGCTTAGGATAGACAGTAGTAGACGTTGTAATATATACCGCATATACAACAAGTCCCCGAGTACGTGTTGTTGAAAACGTCGAAAAGTCATGAGTTGATTTCGCACGATATATCCGAGCAGTGCTCTCCTCTGTTGTTCTTGTTTAACTTTTCCTTTTGTAAATATTTCTTATTTTTCTTCCGAGCACTTATCGCAGATCCTGTTGAGTTGAATTTCCCGAGTAAGAGTAAGGTGACAAATCTTATTCGAAAACGCACGAATTTAAATAGAGAGAGAGAGAGAGAGAATGTTAGAAAAAGATCAAGAACACAGGGACAATATTGAAGAGGAGATGGTTTGAATGATGTTAATTGTAGAGAGAGGGACGCGCTATATGCGTTCCGTCTTCAAATTTCCGCTTCTTTCTGATTGTTACTTTTTCGCAGAATATGATCTCAACGATATCCGTGGAACGAAGTCGACGCATTATTACTTGTCGAATATTTCCGTTACATACTTGTTGTTAGCTGCAGCACTAGAAGAACGGCGATCGGGACGATAAGACGCTCGCAGGCTGCTATCGTGACGGTGACCACTTACGTATCTCCGGTATCACTGACACCACTCGCGCGATCGCGTTATCGTCCCACGATCAACGATGAATCGAATGCATTAAATGATCGACGACGCGATCAAATAACTCTTACTACCGACAGACTACTAACGCGTCACGACGTCGCCCTGGCGGATCACGAACTGCGATAGTCGAATTGTCCAAGAAACCGAGGAGGAGAAGAGCTTTGATGATGTTCCCAATCTGAAGTTTTAGGAACTACATTAGAAAAATCAAAGATAAAAAGAAGTCCAGAATTTGGAAGAAAAATTAAAAAAAAAATATACACTTATATATTTTACGCAAGAATTTCTTTTTGTAGGATTTAATTTTACGTGAAATTCACCGTAAGTTTGATTAATCGCGAATGAGAGTCCATTGTACATTCTGCTTGTTATTCTGCTCGTATCGATTTGACGAAAGAAAAAGAAAAGAAATATAAAGAACAACATCGTATCGAGATATCCATCCTCGCTTTCTGTAGACGATCCTTTTTAATGCGAGGAGATGTATCCCCGCGCACGTGATTTACCGAAGAATGCAAGGACACGTAACAAAGATTAGTGGCTAATCAAGTTCCTTATATTCTACTGTTTCTCTTACACACACACACACACATAATCATACACATATACACATCGCGAGAAGAATAAAGGACCGCAGGCTAGGAAGTAGTTTGTTCCAGAAATCTGAGACTCGAGGATCTAATAATTTGACGATCCTTCAAAACTGCGATCTCCCAGAGAAAGAGAGAAGGAATTTGAAAGTTCAAAGATCTTAGGCGATAGATATTCCAACAGAGTTTATAAAGAAAAAAAAATACCAGAGAGAGAGAGAGAGATATATATATATATATATATATATATATATATATAAATATCAAGACGTGAAGATTTACAAAATCCCTTAAAATTTCAACAACCTCAAAAGTCGAAGATTAAAGTTTCCAAGGATCCAAGTTTTTCGCGTTAGGTATGCAAAGTTGCTCTCAATCAAAGATCTCGTCTCGTCGATGTAAAGATCCAACAATCGTGTAAAAGCCGCGAGAAGCTGAGGAAGCCGATGACGAATTAAGAAACCAGAGAAAAGACAAGAAACACGAAAAATCGAGGAAGCTCACACACACACACACACACACACACAGAAGAAAATCGATCTGAGAAAAGATCCCCGGGGATTTTGGTAGGCGAGTGTCCTGGTTAGTGATTCCTCCGAGATCCTGCGAAGGGTCCTGTCAGGAGCGAAGTGTTGTTTAGCAGCCGCGCGGACAGCGATTTACGCAATTGTATTATATCGAGCGACTAATATATGATGATGTACGTGTAAATATTAAGGATAATTGTTAGTTATTTACAGTTAGATCGATTACAAAGACGGCGCGACTCGCGACAAGGATAAGCAGTAGCTGAGAAAAAAAGAAGATTATTATGTAGCGCACTGATGTACGTCTAGAGAATAAAGAACGATGAACGAGAAACGCTCTTTCAACGATGTGTCCCGGTTGCGCATTGATTGTATCCTGTGATTCGAGATATTTAGTTACGGTAAACGGGTGTCTCCCTACGGCTTGTGCTCGGCGGAGCCACGTGACTCGCTGGACACCGCTGCTGAGGGATAGGGAACACCTGAGAACGGGACTCATCATTAGTCCAGTAAATAATCTCGCTCAAGTAATTGTATTATATTTTCAATATGTTCTCCAGATTTAAGTATAGACACACACACACACACACACACACACAGACATACATATATAAAATCATCAATGTATTTAATTAAATAAATATGGGTTACAAATCACGGCTGCACCAAGTTTCTCGCGACTCGACCACCTGCCGCGGCCAGGTGAACCGCTGACACCGGCATTTTGAAGGAATGCGCGCGTGCGTTGTTCCGCCGACAGGCGGCGACTCTCCGTTTCCTCGCGCGCGCATAGCAACAATGTAATCCAATGTAACCCGTTCGTTGCGCGCCTAATTCCCCAATTTGTCGAACCCCGCGCGTGTAACATTCATCCGTTGCTTATCCGGATGTACGCGGTACGGCTGCCCGACATCGGCAGAGTCCATTCCCTGCGGTCCTTTCGCACGAATGTCGCTCCCCCGACGAGGGGAGAGGAGCTCTGCGACCTGCGACTCCGACCGCGTCGCGTGCTGCAGTCTGGTGTGAATCCACGGAACCCCACTCACTCGTCTATTTAGTAATCAATGAGTCATAAATAAAGCACACCGCCGTTCCATCGTCAAGCGTTATTTTAGCCTCTTCGTGTTCCGACACTCGTTAGATTTAGGGGGCCCGTTGAGTTCTCTCGTTTTCTCTCGTGTCACCCAACAAAGGTCTCGGTGACGTTATTCGGCTGAGCTGTGAGAGGCGTGCGTCGCGGTCGATCCTCGTGGAATATTAAATCGGCCAACGATCAATTATTGCTGCTCGGTAATTTCATCGGTCATACAAGTACTAGAATTCTAGACTCAGCAACGACGATTGATCACTGGCCGATTTATTACAGCCTGCAATGCTCACACATATCACAGTAATTTTATTACTCATACACAGAGAGAACGATTTAGTTGAATCTAACAGACGCTTATTTGGAATAGTCGGAATAAATTTTTTGATTGATCGAACAAAATTTTGTTTGACGCGACAAAAACATTTCATTGGAACTAAGCTGCAACAAAATATTTTTGTTGCGTCAAACAAAACTTCGTTCGATCGATCAAAAAATTTATTTGGACTATTCCAAATAAGCATTTGTTAAATTCAACTAAATCGTCCTCTCTGTGTACGAGTACTGGAGAATTATTGTTGATTAGTAAATTTATTACTCTTACGAGTTCTAAAATTATTTGTCTATAACAGCCAGTAATACGAGTGTAACTTTCATCACTCATATGAGTGCTACTTATAAGTTACTTAGCGACAATTGATCATTGGTCGATTTATCGCAGTCAGTAATGCTTATATATATAACAGTGATACGAGTAATTCTATTACTCAGACGAGTACTAAAATTAATTATTTATTACAGTAATGCGAGTAACTTTATTACTCGTATGAGTGTTACTTAACAATAACGATTGATAATTGCCGATTTATCACACAGCTGGTAGTGCTGATACATATTACAGCAATACGAGTGATTTTATTACTCGTACGAATACTAAAATATTTGTCGATTCGTAATTTTACTCATACAAGCGTTAAAATTATTTATTTATTACAGCCGGTAATACGAGTAACTTTATCACTCATATGAATGCTAAAGTTACTCAGCAACAACAATTGATCACTGGCTGACTTATTATTACAGCCGGTAATCCTTATACGAGTGCATATACATGTAACAGTGATACGAATAATTTTATTACGAGTATTAAAATTATTTATTTATTCAAGCTAGTAATACGAATAACTTTACCACTCATACGAGTGTTAAAGTTACTCAACAACGATTGTTTACTGGCCAATTTGTTATAGCCGTTAATGCTCGTACAAATCACAGTGATACGAGTAATTTTGCTCATGCGAGTACTAAAATTATTTATTTATTACGAGTAATACGAGCAACTTTATCACTCATAAGACTGCTAAAGTTACTCAGCAACGGTAATTGACCACTGGCGGATTTATTACAGCCGATAATGCTCACACATATCACGTGTGATACGAGTAATTTCATCACTCGTACGAACACTAAAACAATATTGGCTCACTACTAATAATACAAATACTAATTTAGTGGGCAGCAATGATTGATTAATAATTGACTGATGGTCAATTTATCACACAGCCAATAATACTTTTCTATAAGGGAAGCTGTATTTCTCTCTCTCTCTCTCTCTCTCTCTCTCTCTCTCTCTCTCTCTCTCTCCTCTCTCTCCTCTCTCTCTCTCTCCTCTCTCTCCTCTCTCTCTCTCTCTCTCTCTCTCTCTCTCTCTCTCTCTCTCTCTCTCTCTCTCTCTCTCTCTCTCTCTCTCTCTCTCTCTTCTCTCTCTCTCTCTCTCTCTCTCTCTCTCTCTCTCTCTCTCTCTCTCTCTCTCTCTCTCTCTCTCTCTCTCTCTCTCTCTCTCTCTCTCTCTCTCTCTCTCTCTCTCTCTCTCTCTCTCTCTCTCTCCTCTCTCTCTCTCTCTCTCCTCTCTCTCTCTCTCTCTCTCTCTCTCTCTCTCCTCTCTCTCTCTCTCTCTCTCTCTCTCTCTCTCTCTCTCTCTCTCTCTCTCTCCTCTCTCTCTCTCTCTCTCTCTCTCTCTCTCTCTCTCTCTCTCTCTCTCTCTAGAAAGCGAGAAAAAGCGGCCGACTAAAAAGAGAGTCCACGCTTTTTACCAGCGTAGGTGTAGCCGCGCGCGTATTGTCCGCGTAGGATCGGCGGATCGCATTCCTTCCGCATATCCGCCCACCGTTGGGATTATCAGCGGTGCGTGGACGCCTGGCGATAGCCGTTACTTGCGTGCTAACACGCCGGTTACGTGGCAGATAAAAGCCCATCATAATGCGGGCGTTTAGCTTTCACGGGGTCCGCTTATCGCGCGCGCTCCGACGCGCCCGATCGTCCCGAGATTTTAATTGCGGCCTCACGCCGGACGAACGCAGCTGGTGAGAACGCGCGGCCGCTGCGTCGCCGCTTTTGGCCGCGCCGCGTTACGTTCGCGTCCGCCCATGCCGTGTGCGTTCGCGGCTCGCTCGCTCCGCTCGCGAGAGAGAGAGAGAGAGAGAGAGAGAGAGAGAGAGAGAGAGAGAAAAAGCGGCGAGAGCGCCGAATTAGGTTGCGAGACTCCGGGCCGCCGGCGCCGACAATCGGTCGATTCCTCCTCGCTCGAATGCCCGCGCTAAAAATTACGCCGTCTCGGTTTTCGGGTCAAGCCGTGTGTACTTGAGCGGCGACTCGAGCGCGCGCGCTGAAGACTGAATTCTCGCTTTCGGCAGCACGGCAGTGGCACTGCTATCGCGTTTCATGCGGCCCTTAGGCGCAGTATCGATTGCCGCCACCTTGCGAGGGTGAAACTGGGTCGAAAGCACCCTTCCCCACCGGGAGCAGTTGGGCCGCTCTCGCTCTCGCTCCCGCTCCCGCTCCCGTTCTGCGTACGCCATTTTATATTCCCTCGCTCGTTCTCTCTCTCTCTCTCTCTCTCTCTATTTGCCTCTTTCTTTTGTTCTCCCTTTCCTTCTCTTTCCCTCCTTGCCGCGTTGGCGCGCGAGCGCAAGCTCATCGCTACACTTCCGCCGTCGCGCTGTCACTTTGACTGATGTCGCTGATAATTGGAACGCAGGCAGAAAGACATCCCTGACGACGTTGTCCCGTCTTCGGCGCGATGCGTCGCGGCGCGTCGCGTTGTTTACTTTCGCCTCCGTCGACGCGGGGATGGAGCGCGGCGGTGCTCCCTTTTTGACTCGGGCGTTGTTGATATTGTTAATAAACCGCGAGCGATCATTTATGAATGTCAGGGACTCGTCCCAGATCCTGAATAGACTACAGCGCGTCTATATCTGCGTACTCTCGACGCGGCCCATTTACCCTCTTCTCCCTCGGTGATCTACGTGCGTATTTCATTGGATCCCCTCCGCAGTCTTCTTCTACCTCTTCGTCTCTCTCTCTCTCTCCTCTTCCTTTTCTTTCGCCCTTCTCGCGCGCGCGCAGTGGCGGAAACGTCGTTTTTCCACGAAGAAAGTCGCGCCTCGCGCCCGAGATGCGGGACTTTCCTCGTGCCTGAGGTACGATTGTGCGCGCTAACAATTATAATTGCCAAGCCCGGCATATTAATGACCGCGCTGTGCTCACGTGACTGATGGATATTGTTCAACATTTATGATGGGTCGCGCGAGTCGATAACTCGACTCGAGCCGAGGAGAGGAGCCAATGCGTCCACGCATTGGCGATATTCCCAATCTCAGCCACTCCGCCCGATCCCTCAACATTCAATAAGCACATTTGGTGTGCTTACCAAAGTGCTGAAGCACTCGAACTGTGCGAGCGCATAAAAGCGAAAGGAAAAATCCTCCCTCCGATTTTCGCGCTCCGCGCGCGACCTGCTACGCCATTGGCTCACCCTCCGCTATACCGCTATAACGCTATAGCCCCCTTCGCTTCTTTATTCCGATCACCCCGCGGTTCATCCATCCCCCCGTGAACCCCTTGATGTTCAGTGTCACGTGGGTAGGCTAGTAGGCTGCCGGATCGAGCGTTCGCCGAGCCCTCCGCCCGAACGGGGTAGTCCGCTCCCGTTTGCGTTTCGTACCGTACCGTGGGGAGGCCGGGCGGCGGGCAGGGCGAGGGAAGGGGGAGGGAGAGAGGGAGGGGGGGAATCTTTGACATAAATAATCAGTAGTGGAGCACCACGGTGCCGGCCCCGGTCGCCACGGCAACGGCATCGATCGAGGCCTACCACGAGGTCGAAGCCGAGCCACCCTCCTGCTCGGAGGCACTTTTTTTCTTCCTTCCCTCGACTTTCTTATCTCTTTCGAGACCCCCCCTCCCTCCGA